TTTTTTTTTTTTTTTACGAAATACTAGAGTTCTCACATTCAATTAGGAGCGTTGATACAATCAAGACTTGAATTTATGACAACGACTATGGACGAATGTGTATAAGCCAACACCCTACACTCAGTTATCCGAGTAAGCTCGCGCTCGCTACAATACTTGGCCCTCTGATATCACCAAGCTCCGTTCTTTCATGAAAACCCTTTCCAAGTTTTCATAGATACAGTCACTCATTCAAATCTCCTCCTATCCCTTCCCCATACACCCGGCTTCCTGATATTCAGGTCAAGTCAATCACCATGTCCTCAGCTTGCCAGCGACCCTGACTACTTCTCTGCACCATGTCCACCTCCATCATCTCGAATGGGTATCCTCGGTGATCTGATGGTTCACCTACTCGAGTTGGTGCCTCGGTATCGTCTTCAATAACAATGGTGTCGGAGCTATCGTCAGAAATCATACCGTCTTCCTTCAACAACCACGTTTCGATGTGTTTATACAAAACACGCACTGCTGTCGGTGGGAAGGCGTTCCCAATCTGTCGCTTGATGGAAGTCATATTTCCCAGGAAACGATGGGATTTAGGAAACCCTTGCATGCTTGCAAGCTCGCGAAGGGTCAGCTTTCTCGAGCCATCAGGATAGTAAAGATCTCCTCCTCTAGTGGTGATCGTCCCTGCAAGGCGCTCTGGATCGTAGGGTGCTCTCTCGGGGTTATAGTACTGGACGTTATCAAGGTCATGAAGATCATCTCCAGGCCGAAGTCCCCTGAGGACTTTCCCGATGGTGTTGTACGGCATCAAACCGTCTCCGTTGCCGTGTGTCGGCGCTGGAAAAGGTGGCAGTCTTTCACCGGGCGCAGCAGCGATCAAGATCAATCTCTTGCGGTCTTGTGCGGCACCCCAAGTACATAGTCTGACAACCTTCCAACGAATTGAGTAATTGTGCTGGGTGAAGTCTTGGATGAAGGCATGGAAATGCTCTTCATGGCGGTCATGGGCAAGGCCAAAGGTTTGCTCAACCGTGATAATACGTGGTCGGAGCTTCCGTAGCAGTTGGTTGCATCCGTAGAGAGCAAAGATGTTCTCATCGTCATGTACAGACGCATGAGTGTGTGCCGGCGAAAAGAATTGACATGGCGGGGAGAAATGCAGCACATCTACTCTCATGTGGCCGATGTAAGGGTCCAGGAGTAACTGGTCAAGAGGCATTCGAAACAGTTCGGTATTAGGAAAATTAGTCTGGTAGGTATTCCAAACTTCTGGTGCCTTGTCAATAGCATACTGGACTTTGAACCCAGCGATGAGAGCACCTCGAGATACTCCTCCGGCGCCTGAACATGAGTCAAACATAGTATACTTCTGGCCACGGCTCCGGACTTTTGTGTCTGTAGCGTTTGACTCTAGATCGATACTGTTATTTGGGGCTGAAGGAAGCCAAGACCCTCCTCTAGTAGTGTTTCCTCGCCAGCGGTTGCGAAGCACTTCGTCGAAAACTTTGAATTGTGTCTGGGCTTCCGTCGAATGGATGTGAATAAGGGCCTCTTCAGTTCTTTTCCGGCGACTGCCTTGTCCAGTGAAACAGACCTCAAGCTTCTAGCGGCAGGTCAGGTGTGTAGACTGCTCCCGCGGGTGGTCTCCCTCTCTTGGGTAATGAGGGTTATAAAAGCGTCCATTAAATTTAGGATAGAGTGCGTTGGTGATGATTAGACAGCACAACTGGATAACATCGGCTGGAGCAATATCAACGTATTCTTCACTCTTTCCTTCGTCTAGGTAAATGAGCATACTCAATTCGTTCTTCTTCTTGGGTAGCTTTGCACAAGCTGAGCGGGCTCTAATGAAGGGTGTGCCACGGATCTTGATCATATTCGTGAGCTGGCAGCGGATCACCGCTTTGACCAGGACATAATCAACGTGATATTTTCCAGAGGAGAATCTCCGAACCTGTATGAATGATGATGCTTGCACCGCAGTGTTTTTTATCCGTATCCGCTCCAAAGGCAGTTCCCCCTGGCGAAGAAAACCGAAGACTGGAGCATCCAAGGTGAGATCAATGCTCTCGTCACCTCCGACGTTGTGATCGTCATCCAGTGTGCATGAGGAAAGGCGTCTTCTAAGTCTTGGAACCTCTTTTGGCTTCTCTGCCAAAAAGATCACATCTTCGACTTCCTCTTGTCGCTCGAGGTCGATACATGTTACCGACATGTTATGCGAGGTGGGCTAAGCCTGAGGCGAAAAGGACTGTGTTATGCTGTGAGCCGCCTGTATATTTCCGGGTGAAAGAGGCAAAGGTTTCGTACATTTTCTCGGGGAGGGGGTTAGGAGGGAAAAGGTGAGAAAAGGTTCAAGGAAACCCCGTGTTTGCGCGGAGTTGAGGGTAGGGAGGTCCGGTCGAAGAGGTTACCGGAGAGACCCTAGAGAGACCTTGCTTGCATTCAGGCTCCTCCACACGCAAGGCAGCGTAAATCTTACCTCGGATTGTATGGTCCGTGCAGTGTGAATTGGGCTGTTTGTCTTGTGGAATCAGTTATAAAATCTGAAGGCAACCACTGCAGTTCAAACACTGGTTTGTGTTGGCAGAGCAAGCAGTAACTCAGATGCATTCTCTTTGCACTTAGGAGACCTGGTCCAATCCCTCTATAGGCCATCCAGATATCTTTATACGTCACCAATAGTAGAAGTCAAGCCAGGTTTAAATCTACCAACACCGCCGGGCACTGCAAAAACAGATCCTGCCACTTGCAAGTGTCCGCTACAGGTGCAACACGGGCTATTTTATACAGATCTGAGCACAAGGATCTAACGAGAGACTGGCTGTTGTCACACCCATACCTACTAGCTTACCGATTACCTGAGTAGGTAGATACCTAGGTGTTACCTAGAATCTCCATAAGGTAGTGAATTTGAAAGGAGGCTACCTGGGTCTGCCATCCAACGATAAGACTAGCGATGGCATTGCTATTATTTCGACCCCCATGATAAGTGCCACGGTTAAAGACTTTCCATGCATACCTTCGGTTTGCTAATACCTTATGGGTTATCTGGGGCATTCGGCTTGAATACTGTCATTCATTTGCCAAGGGAAAGGCGACCAACGACTTATTGTAGTAAATATCTTTGCCTTTGAGAAGAGGAAACGGTTTATATAAATGACAAGAGATATAAGATGAACTTATCTTGTGTTGGCCTTGGCCTTGTTATTACCTTTCCTTTCTCTTCTTTCCTGTACTTTTCTTTTTCCTCGTAATATTCTCCTTGCTTTTTAATAATCTCGTCACAAACGCACTGAATCCGATGACGGAATAACCAACAGTCATCGAAAAGCTTGATAGCTTACCTCAAGCTCAGCAGGACTTCTACCAAGTATGCGATCACCTGGGAGGCCTATCTAAGACAATTCTACATGGCCTATTACTTGGTGGTATTCTCTAATATTGATATGACCTCGTAGACTATAGGGTAAAGTGGCCTGGCTTAGATGACGGATGTTGGGATGGATTGAGCTGTGCCTAATCGGGTTAGTCAGGGCAGCTCCGATCTATGGCGTATTATGAGGTAGGTACTAAGGTAGTACCTACCTGATAGTGGATTCATATCAGCGATCCTTGTTTCGACTGTTGAGGTCATTGATGCGATCAACCATGATTGCGAAGCCAACTAAAAAGGTGCTACAAATGCCGAAAATGTCAAAATGAGGTACTCTGTCTTATTGCTTATTTATCTCGGGTGATGAAAAGAGCTTGTTTGTTATCCATCGCTAGACTTTCTAGATTGCCGCATAATCTTTGTTACCAACATACACCACGTCAAGCCTCTTATCCTTCTTGCGTATATATTCATTCAGCACAGTTGACGATGGCTGCGCGGGTCTTACGGAAACGTGGAGCCACAGGCTCTAAGGATGTCCCAGAAAAGAAGCAGAAGACAAGTACCCAAAAGCAGATAAAAGAGGAGTCTCCTGACGAACTTCCACATAATCTTGGACCTGTTCGCCCACGTCAAAAGAATGCTGGGAAGATCCCGACCCCACCAAAGGATTTGACAGAATCAGCCGAGAAAGTTAAGGAAGAGGAGGCTTCTCCTGAAAACCAACCACAGACCGAAGTTCTGAATCCACAGGCACCTGAAGAGACAAAGTCAACGACTCGGAGGTTATTGCGACCACGGCAAGCTGCCGCTAAATCTTCGTATCTCGAGTCAGATGAGGGGAACGGCGCGGAAGTCATAGCAAAGATTTCAGGCAAGTCTTCATCGATTAAGCAGGAGGCCAAAGATGAGGACGAAGACGTCAATGAGGCGATGGAAACGCCAGTCCGAAAGACGGCCAAGAAGACGAAGGAGAACCCATATGGTCTGACCCCTGGTATCACACCTTTCGCCGAATGGAAAGCTCCATCGGCCGGAGATTGTGAAGAAGTCTATCGCCGACTGGCCAAAATCCACGGAGAAGCCCAAGCCCCCGAAAAGATACCCGCACCGTCTCTTGAAGTCTCAGGCTGCGGGGAGGTTCCGTCTGTCCTAGATGCGTTGATCAGAACTCGTCTGAGCGCAAACACGTCCAACCGCAACTCAAGCGCAGCATTTCGGGGACTGGTGAGCACATTTGGAACTGTCGATAAAGGGATTGGCAAAGGCAGTGTGGATTGGAACAAAGTCAGAATTTCTCCTCTACCTACTATTGTCGAGTCTATCAAAACCGGTGGCCTGGCTCAGGTAAAAGGCAAAGATATCAAAGCAATCCTGGAGTTGGTCTATGAAGAGAACACGAAGCGACGAGAGGCATTCTTAGAAGAGAAGAAGGGAGGCAAATCATCGGGGATGTCTGGGGCAGATGGAAAAACACAAGGTCAAAAGGACCTAGAGATCCTGAAGACAGATCAGGAGATTCTCTCATTAGACCATATACATGGGATGGCCCCGGACGAAGCGATGCAGACCCTCACCAAGTTTCCTGGGATTGGTGTTAAAACAGCGTCCTGTGTTATTCTCTTTTGTTTACAGCAGCCCAGCTTCGCAGTTGATACACATGTACACCGCATCAGTGGATGGTTGAAATGGATACCACCCAAAGCCACACGAGATCAAACGTTCAGCCATTTGGAAGTTCGTATACCTGACCACCTGAAGTATGGGCTCCATAAACTGTTTGTTCAGCATGGGCGAAGTTGCATCCGCTGCAGAGCAAACACGAGCGAGGGAAGTGAGGAGTGGAAAAAATCAGAGTGTCCTCTTGATGGGCTTATGGAGAGAACAGGTAAACGGCAGTATGGAGGTAAAGGAGGGTCAAAGAAAGCTTTGAAGGAAGAGGACAGTGATTAACTGAATCACTGCAGTGGATGACTTAGGTTCCATTTAGGTTAGGTTGTGTATAAAGAGTGCTATTGTGTCTTTTTTTCTTCTTCTTTTTTGCAAACTTTCTCTGCTATATACTATGTGATAGGGTTGAATAAGCGCACAATACAATCTAGGTAACATCGAAACGTGAACAACCTCGGGCTCTATTAACCTAGGCATCGAACAAAGAATTCAACCACCCACACCATAGATAGGAGCCTAGTGGCCCGGCTACCCAGCGACAAAGGCACCCCCCACCTTACTCATTAAACCCCCTGCAGAGCGCGGCAAGTCAGGCGCGTCAAAGCATCCATACCTAGAAACTGGAACCAAGGCCGTCTCCATCGAACTCCAAGCTTCATCTACCCAACTATTTTCCGATCAATCCCATTCGTTCTCCTGCATCGCATGTCGCATGCTCATCACTTGCTGGTCAACAAAGGCTTTGGTAGGGCACGAGAGTTCTCATCCGCTTACATTAACTTATTTTCTCCTAGCTACCTACATCACTCCTTTACTTCCCACTGCCATCGACAAACCCTTGAACGGATTGTTTGATTTCAAAATTGAAAGTGCCCCTAGCAACGGGCTTTTGATGCCGACATCGATTTTTATTCTCAACCATAATTCGACTACCACACCTAATACCGAAAAATCTACGACCTCGCAGGTTTCAGCGCCCAGAATCGATCTGGTAACCTTTTCATAAATACTTCACGTCGCATTGCGCCCTTCTCGCCCGAGACAACCTTTGCTGTCCCTCTGATGCAAAACCAGCATTCCGTTTAACCCTCAAGACCTTAGCTTACCCAGACACGATCTCGTGAGATGCGCAAACGCACCAGTAAATTCAGAATCTCATAATGGCTCTCAACGAAGAACTCAGCCAGTGGTACGACAAGATTCAAACCTTTGATGATGAATGTCATCTGCTATGTCCTCGTGTCTCCGATGAAGACGGCGAAATCTACAGAATCCAAGACGACCCCGACTCGACAATCACATCGGAAGAAAAGACGAAGCGAATCGAACAGGGACGTGAACGCTTGGAGATTACATACTGGAACTGTTTGATTTTTGGGTATGATCGATCCAGCCAAGGAAAATGGGGTGAACAGCTTGAGGAGCGGCTCAATGCTTGCCTAAAGCATTGCTCAGACTGTGTTTACAATTGGCACATGAAGCGCCGGGCCCTGTTGCAACAATTTCAAGATCGTTGGAACGAAGAAGTGGTCGCCGATATCCAGTCCATGCTTGAACGCAAAGATATCGAACGCATCGATCTGAGTCTACAATGGGCCAAGGCGTTTATTGAAAAGATATTGTCAGCGGGCACTGTCTTCAAGAAATCGCAACTTGGTGAACATCTACCAGAGGTTCACATCTCCGTTTACGAGGCATTGTGCTGCATGCCTTATATGGAGGATCCAGAGCGACGAACCACATTTCAGTTTGTTTTTCAACGTCTTCAAGGAAAGACTGGCCTTAAACTTGGAACAAAGGAACCCCTTCCTGGAATGACATACTTCATTTTTGATCTCAGAAATCAAGACAGACGCATTTGGGCAACAAATAACTACCAGAACCTCGACAGTAACGCCATGACCCTGGACCAGTTCGACTGGGCTGTAAGTGGTGGTCTTTCGAGAGCCATTGACGATATCAGTAGAAGAGACCCTAACACCCCAGAGTCATGGCCTGATATCGAGCAATTCTGGCAAAGCTTTAACGAAATAATGAGAACCCTAAGCGCAGATGTCATCCTTCAACGTCTGCGGAATCTAGAGCTCAAGCCCGGGAGTTTTGGTATATACGATCTTCTCTTTCGTCACATCCAAGACTGCCCCGCAGAAGGCGTCTTGGTCTCGAACATCATTGTTCTGACAAACTTCTTTAAAAAAGCGCCCAGGGCCTTTTGGGATGTAATTGGCGATGCTCGTCCTACTGTGATTCCGGATCTAGTCTTGAAGAGTCGGGTTTACAAGAACTTGCTTCGCCAATCACTGGATAATTGCTGGACTGGCTTTGACAGTGGCTCATCTCATGTTCCATTCCCTACCTCTTGGGTTGACCCATGGCTACAATCCATCCAGCGTGATCATAGATATGATGCTTGCGATGGCCTAATGCATACTCTACTCGAGACCCTTGCCAAGGACCAGGCTATCGGAGAACCGGGTCGTGCGGCTTGTGTTCGAGCTGGGTTCGATGCTTTGCAGCTCACCATGTCAACGTTTGTAGACCAAGAGACCAAGATTGGTGCAGGAACCACTCACCTCTACGCCTGCTGTGCATTCAACCTGGTCATGACGTACAAAGACCTTATACTCCGAAACTTGCGCGAGCCCGGACAAGAAAAGGAGGGTTGGCAAACCTTTCAAGTTGCAAGCGCAGCTAGGAAGGCCATGCAAACCGCCATGAAACTGGATATGAAGATATTTGCAGAGGAATATTCGGCTTGTCTTGATGGCAAACAGCTTCAGTCCGCTGTCACCAGGGACTCCAAGGTTTTTTGGCAAGGCGTTGTTGAGATGTTTGATGTGTCAAATGAGAAGATTGACCTTGCCAGAGACATCATCCTATCGTTAGAACCCCTGGTTGGTGTTGAGCAAGTCAGAGCTCTGAAGGGCAACGATCAACTGAGCGATTCGAGCAAAAGCTTCAACAAGACCCTGGGTGAAACGGTCGAAATCCTTGGAAACCTCCTGGGCCGAGTATCAGATCTGGATGCAACGGATCTGAACACCCTTTTCAACGATCGCCTCGCATTCCAGGGCACTATAACACTATCGACCCATGGAGAATCAGCGCTTGCTGAAGCAGCCGTGGAACTGCTCAAGAACTGGACTGGGGAGTTATCTCAGAGTGGCGCTTTTGAGCAGATGTCCCAGCTTCATCCCGATCAAACGCTATCATCCATAGTATGGGCTCTGGAACGAGTCCTGAAACCCCCTTACCCTTGGGGCCCTATTCGTCCGATCCTCAACATGAGCAGAGACATCCTTCGTGGGCTGACTGATCGCAGCACCGGAGTTTTGCGAGTCAAAACCCTTGGATCCATGTCAGCCGCCAAAGTATTGCGTTGGTGGAACGAACAATGGCGATTTGTGTCTACTGCATGCAGAAACATCGATGGATGGTCTCGGTACATACAGAACGCCGTGATGACCGAGTTCTGTCGGGAAATCATGGAACTAGCTGAAGCTCTAGTGGCGGAAGATGGGTTGATCACTTCAGCTATCTCCAAAGCCTTGAATAAAAGCGAAGAGGACACTATGACTTCAATCCTTAGTGCCCCGAAGCAGTACTTTTCTGGCATGGAGATCATGATCCGCCTGAAGGATAAGTGGCTTGTCGATGTCACTGTCCGAGTCATCTGCAAAATTCTGACCCGTCTCCGAGAAAACAAACTCGAGATAGCCCCTGCCTCACGCAAGCTGATTACGGATGCTTGCTTGCCTACGAGTGTACCCGGCAAGTACGTCAGATCCACAAATATGACCGACCAACAACGCGCAGAACTTGTTCAAGCTCTTGGACAAACGGACGATGAGATACAGATCTTCCAGCTGGGAATTGCCCAGAGAGGACCCCCCTCAGCCAAATCCAAGGATGCTGCCAAGAAACAGAGCAAGATCGATGCTTGGTCAAAATCCGGCACCTCATCCCACGGTACAATTACAACACCGTCTTCCAGGTCCAACCGCGACGATGTATTCGACCTTAGTAGATCTATTGACAGCCCTATTCTTAAGCAACTCGATGCCCAGAAAGCCAAAGGGGAGGCAAGGTCAAAAGCAAAGGCCAACGCTATGCTTAGGTCTAAGCCCAAGGCACCTGATCAAAAAGCTATCTCTGCGTTGAAAGAGAGTAGACAAAAGGAGAAGCTCGAAAAGGCGAAGCGGGATGCTGCAGCTATCGCAAAGGCCAAAGCTCTCAGAGGAGAGACCGTGCCTGGTGAGGGTTCGGGCTTACTTGGTCTCGGCCTCAGTGGAAAAGATCATGGCAGGAGCGAGATAATGGTGAACAGTTCGGAAGAAGAATCTGAAGAGGACGAAGAGGATGAAGAAGACGCCGATAACGAACTTGCTGCCCTGAGCACGGGAGGACAGAAAACCATGGACGAGGCCGAGAAGCGTCTTTCGAAAGCAATGCAAGACATGATTCGTAGGCCCGTCAAGAAGGTTAGACAACAGCGCTCAGTCAAAGAGATGAGAGCGAGGTTGATTCCACCTATGGATCGGCTACATAACACTATCTTGTCTTGGGATATCTTCCACGGTGGCAACGACCCTCCTAACGGTCCAGCTGCATCCGAGGTTGCCACCAAGTATTCAAACCCCAAACTCTACCAAGACACCTTCTTTCCCCTGCTAGCTTCGGAAGCCTGGCGGTCATTTGTCACAGCTAAAGATGAAATTACTTCTCAAGCCTTTGGCATGAAGATTGCCAGTCGTGCCAGTGTTGACAGTTATCTGGAAGCGACATTCACCATGCCCGTGATGCAAAACAGGGAGCGTGGCGTTTCCGAAGGTGACATTCTTCTGGTTTCTGAGTCAGAAAACCCACTAGGAGATCAAGAAGCTCGACATTGCCTGGCAAGAGTGCATCGAATCACCTATAAAAAAGAGTTGATTGAGGTCACGTATCGTGTGGCTTCTCGAAACAACCTTATGACCAATGTGTTGATTCCCAACGCAACCGTGTTCGGGGTAAAAATTACCAACATGACTACAATCGAGCGAGAGTATGCTGCTTTGGAAAGTCTGCAGTACTACGACTTGATGGACGAAATTTTGAACGCAAAGCCGTCTCCTATTCTTCGATATGATGAGGAGAAAGTGGGCAACTGCATGCAGAATTATTCTCTGAACCACGGACAAGCTATGGCTGTTCTTGGTGCACATGATAATGACGGTTTCACTCTTATTCAGGGGTAAGTAACTTGGGTACAATTGTTTGCAAAGCTAACACGAGTAGTCCACCTGGTACTGGAAAAACCAAGACTATTGTTGCCATGGTTGGCACTTTGCTCTCGGAACAACTTAGCCAAGCGGCGAATCAAGGTATCCCTGTGGGCGTTCCCTTACGCCAGACAGGCCTACCGTCGGCAAGCAACCAAAAACGATCGAAAAAGCTTCTCGTTTGCGCACCTAGCAACGCTGCTGTAGACGAACTGGTACTACGACTGAAAGCTGGAGTTAAGACAATTTCGGGAAAGACCAAGAGTATCAATGTGCTACGACTTGGCCGCAGCGACGCTATCAACGCCGCCGTAAGAGACGTGACTTTGGATGAACTTGTCAAGGCCCGCATGGAGGGCGACCAAACCAAGGACAAGGCAAAGGCCAACCGCGAGAAGCTTCATGAGGATGCCGGAAAGATCAAAGAGCAACTGACCGCTCTTCGACCACTCATGGAAGCATCTAAAACCCAAGAGGATCGAACACTCTACAACAAACATTCCCGGGAATACAATGTGTTGAAACAACGCCAGATAGATATTGGCAAACAAATCGATGCTGACAAGAGCAGCGGTAATTCCGTAGCCCGAGAGATGGAACTACGCCGCCGTCAAGTCCAGCAAGAGATTTTGAACAGCGCCCAGGTCCTATGCGCGACTCTGAGTGGTAGTGGCCATGAGATGTTCCGAAACTTGGATGTCGAGTTCGAAACCGTCATCATCGACGAAGCTGCTCAGTGTGTGGAGTTGAGTGCCTTGATCCCCCTCAAGTATGGTTGCTACAAGTGTATTCTTGTTGGGGACCCCAAACAACTTCCCCCGACAGTTCTGTCGCAATCAGCAGCGAAATTTGGTTATGATCAAAGCTTGTTCGTCCGTATGCAGCAAAACCACCCTGACTGGGTTCACCTGCTCGACATGCAGTATCGTATGCACCCCGAAATTAGCATGTTCCCAAGTCGTGAGTTCTATGAAGGGCAACTTGCTGATGGCCAAAATATGCACGAACTCCGGCAACAGCCCTGGCATCAGAGCGCGCTGCTTGGACCTTACCGCTTCTTCGATGTCCAAGGCGTCCAGGAGCGAGGTCACAGAGGACAGTCCCTAGTCAACGCCAAGGAGTTAGATGTTGCTTTGCAGATGTATGACCGTTTCAGCAACGAATACCGCGAGTGTGACTTGACAGGCAAGATTGGTATCATTACGCCTTACAAAGCTCAGCTTTATGAGTTGAGGAACCGCTTCCGATCGCGATACGGCGAGAGTATCACGGACATCATCGAGTTCAACACGACAGATGCTTTTCAGGGTCGCGAATGTGAGATCATTATTTTCTCTTGCGTTCGTGCTAGCTCTACTGGCGGTATCGGTTTCATGACTGACATTCGACGTATGAACGTCGGTCTGACTCGTGCGAAGTCATCCCTCTGGATTCTTGGTGACTCGAGAGCTCTTGTTCAGGGTGAGTTCTGGAAAAAGCTTATCGAAGATGCCCAGTCCAGAGACCGTTACACCAAGGGTGACATCTTGTCAATGTTCAGGAAACCTCTGGAGAAAGCTAAACCTGGAGCCTACCTTCCGCCGCCACCTAAAAGCCAAGATCGAGAGGTCTCGATGCGAGACGCACCACATACAACGTCTTCGCTGGCTTCCTCCCGTTCAAATTCGCCAAACAGCATGGCAGCTCAGAAGTTAACGGCATCGCCCCAACTACCCGGTATTGGAGGAAACGAAGAATTAGGGATCGTACCACGATCTGCTGGACCTCCCGTTATTCATACCTCTTCAAGCAAACATCCGGGAGAAGTGAGAAAGAGGCCACATGATGGGCAGGAAACGAACCAGCCAGTGACCAAAAAGGTGCGTCAACATTATCAGAAGGCCTGGCAACACATTCATCAGCTAACAGTGATATAGATAGCGAGTGATAATAAACCTCGAGGCGGTGGTCTCATGGGCAAATTTGGACAAAAGCCCCGGCCACTGAAGGCGCCTACAGATCCTTCAGCGATGTCGGTAATGGGATTGGCGCCTCCAGAAAGGCCACCCGCTTCGATACCGGCTAGTCTCCCTATATCGACTAGTCTCCCTATACCGACTGGCCCAGCGATACCGACTGGACCTTCGAATCCAGGACCTCGCCAGCCTCATGAGGGGAACAATCAGGTAGGTTGAACGGCCACACAATTAAGTCATATATTTTACTTACACCAGACTTAGCAAACCAGACGTCCACCTGGTCCACCGCCTCCATCTCGCAAGAAGGGCAAGCCAAGTCTCTTTGTACCAAAGAAGCGATAGAGCCGCATACGGAACGGCGGCATGTGATACTGTATTATTAAGATAGAGAGGGTATATATAGTCCCAAGTATTTTGCAGGCGTTGGAGGGGGGGACTGCATCATTTTCCTTTGTGAAGGCCATTCACAATTAGTACGGGTAAAGGGTACAAAGGTCGCAGTTCTCGGAGGCTTGTTAGATATGCATAGACAGTCGCATATTCTTGGCTGGGGAGCATGGTAAGAAGCTAAGCTCCAAAATCAGCGTGGTGAGCATCAGCATACGCGGGTGAGTTGCGGTGATAGTGATATGCAAGGGAGGATGCAGGCTCCTCTCATGCCAAGGTCAAGGCGCATATCGTCACGCGGCTTGACGATAAACTACAGCAGCACTTGGGATTGCCATTTTCCATCACATGCATCAAGTTTATGCGCAGAGAACGTCTGCACGATTTTGAGACCTGAACCAACCCAATGTTTCTCAACCCCGATGAAGTTGCTTTGTGTCACGTGATGTTGAATACCTAAAATACGAAGAGCCAGGTGCCCAGATCAGATGAGATGGATGCCGACGCATATGAACAAGGGCCAGCTCGCCTAACCATCCGGTAGTAAAGACGATCACCAAGTGCCAGGGCTCTAGCATCTCAATTGTCAGGGGGGAGTGGCAGGGATCCCCAGTAATGGGCAGGGTCAGGTAATGTAATATCCGATCCCAGTCATGGCTCAAAGCCCAAAGCACAACAACAAAGTTGTGCACTTACACTATCATGGTCGGTGCAACGCGACAACGAATTTGAGGCGTACGGATACAACAGCATGATGATGTAAAGGGCCCGTTGTAACTTGATGCGCTGACGACAGTGTGTGGGCTCCTCTAGCCTCTAGTCTCTTGGTGGCTTTGGGCTTTTGATAGAAAGGGCACTCAACTCAGCTCAGCTCAGCTCAGTTTAGGTCATATCAGAACGTATCCAATGCCAAGACTATAACGTATGTACGTAGTGGTCATGACGCTACTGTACTGTAGAGAAAGATCACCCAGGCACACTGACACAATCGCTCCCTCTTTCTCGGCAACTTGGCACAGTAGAGGCGCTAACGGTCTCCCGCAGATGAGATCGGCGGTGGCTTTCGTTTGGCGGTTGAGGGCCAGAGTTTAAAGGAGCATGATGAGATGAGAGCTGAAAAGAAAATGGCTCCCTCCATCCCTCTCCCTCCCTCCTCTTTTCTCGGGACTTGGGACACAGATTCAGGTGGTGTAACAAATAATACGAACGCCATGAGTATCGGACAAAATGAGACAACAATGATATAATGATCCAAGCTGTTGTGTCTATGGGCACAGACCAATGTTGGCTTGATTTATCTTGTCATATTGTGACTCTGTCTTTGTCCACAAGACCAGACCACCCGGCAGTTACACCTCCATTTACTTTGCTTTACTGTACACACACATAGTGGCCCAGTGGTGACGACAGCCACCTGCAAGCATTGACCCAGGATCATTGAAGAATGCTGTACTGTATCTGTATCCGTACGTACCTACGTACTGACTGCATGCATAAACTTGGAGTGAAAGGCTGGGGTCTAAGACATCCATTGTCCATAGCTCGCAGTGGCGGGAGAATTGAGAGACAATTCTTAATTGATAACCTAGTACGTATACCTATCAAACTATTGCATATTATAAACAATTCATTGAGTAAAATAAAAAGGAAAACAGACGTACGTGACTGACGGGAATGGAGATAAATACGGGGCAGGCAGGAAAATGAGATCTCCAGGCCAAATGTGACTAATTAATTACCTCCACTACTAGGTGCAGTACCTCAACGTTGGGTGGGATTATATTCGTACATATGCACCTAAATTGTATGTACGTAGATGCACGCCGATCATGGTCGCAACCCGAATAGCCGGGTGACTTTGCTTTACCGCTTCGTTACAAAGGACAGTGGACAATTACTCAGTTGAGACTGGAACAAAGGAGAGATGGATGATCTCCCTTCCATCTGATAGCTAGCTACGGTAGAGGTAATAGCGGCATCTTGGCCTTGGCCTTAGTTTTAGTTCTAGTAGTGGTCCAGGGTTTTATGGAGAGGGAGTGACGAGTGACGGCATTTTCTGCTTGTCTTGTGAGTCTTTCTCAGCCTGAGAGAGGATCCCCCCAAGGCTACGGATACCTAAGAGAAAGGAAAGGAAAGGAAAAAAAGAAGAAGGGCCCTGATTTCTGTTTTAGGCTGGATCAAAGAGTGGATTGGTTGAGTTAATTATGAACAGGACAAGGGTATGAGCATGGATGAGGCGTCACTCCCCCAGGCCAATCTGTCTTATAATGTTACCTAGTCCACCTCCATCTTAACGTTAAATAATCAATCAATTAATCCATTGGCCTCTTCTTTTCTTTTTTTCTCTTTTCCCATTGACGCCATCACTTATCGGGTTTCTTCATCTTTGTCACATTCTTGGCTATCGACCTACTTTGCGGTCCGTCATCTGAAGCGAGTGACACAGACTGCTCATCTCCACTATCACACAATCATCCATCCATCTGCAACTACCCGCCTCCTTATCCTTCACCACAGAGGACACGAGGAAAAGTCCCGACAGAAGAGACAATTCGGTACGATACAGTATAGCAGGGTAAGTATAGGATCGGCTGAACGGGGATCTCTTTTCTTTTTTTCTTTTCCCTTTCTTCCTGCTTTTACGCATGTTATACATACCGCTTGCTAACACGATGCTATAGGCTCTATCCATGGATGCAAGTGTACCGTTGTGCAGAAGCGTCTAGACAAACAAAACGAGACGAGACGAGACAAGCAGGCAAGCAAGCAGGCAATCAAGCAATCAAACCCATGTATCGTTAATCGTTGGCCCGACATGGCTCAAGTTACTGGCCTTGATCCTGAGGCCTCTGTCACGTCGGGCAATGGCGCTTCCTATCCTCGCACAGTCCCTCCAGCTTTTACTTCTCCCTCTGCATCTGCTTTTGCATCTGCATCTGGCTCCAAGAGGCTGAACCGACGTTCGTACCAAAACCTACCGCGGTCAAGCTCCCAGTTTCAAACACAAGCACGTACCCGGCCCAGGGCAAAGTCTGCATCAAACTTGTCTGGCCGTCCCATCCAGGAGCAGGAGCAAGAACAGGACGAGGACAAGGAACAGTGTTTACAATTTCACGACGACACTTTTATCGGCCAACAGGACGACGACGGCGAATCGCATGATGGCATTGCTGAGCTCATTGACTTCTTGAGGAACAACAGCCCACCATCTGGCAACTTCATGTCTATCCCTGATGATATCTCTCCCGAAGACAGGGGGCGATGGTACAGGTTACGAAAGCTGGGCAAGAGAAGCAAATCGCTTTCCAAGTGGCCTCAAACAATTCGCCTCCCAGACTCGGCTGTCTCAGGCACTACGATTGGGGGACACAGGCACATTGCAATTTCTATCCCATTAGACGCCTCGCCATTTGGGCAAACACCTAGGTCTCAATATCCTGTTTATCAGCAACGGAATATTAGACCCCTCAGTTCCCAGTACGCTCCTACAAGGGCGGTCTTAAACGACAAGGGTGTCGTTACGGTGCTACGTACTGTCAAGGAGGATAGAGAAACAAGTCCTTCAGTGAGCCCAGCAAACTCTCAGCTTCTCCTACCCTCAGTACCCAAAAGATCTCCAAATACCATGGTCGAGGGACAATATCACCCGAGGGCTATTAATAGCAGCAACCAGAACAGGGCACCGGAGCAATTGAACCTTCTCGCAACGCCTCCGCCAAGGGTCGTGTCTCCGGACCAAGTCAGACAAGCTAATGAGCAGTCCCGAGAATTTCAGAACCATGACCGGGGGAACTCATCTGCATCGAACCCGGTCCAGCATGAACGAGTTCCCTCACGAAACTCCAGCTCGGCCGGGGGTCGCTTCGTGCATCTCGGCGACCTATCAATTGATACCATGATGTCTCAGCCAGTCACAAATGAGATCAATCCAGAATCTACTTCATCTGCTCGCCCCGTCTCCCGCGACGGATCTTATCAACACTCACTCTCCAAAAGCATCATGACTACAAGCGACAATGACCCTGTAGTTGCAGAGGCTAGGCCTGTAGAGGCCAGATCTGTTGCAGCTAGAGAGTCGCGCATACAGTCACCAGCCAAACAGACTAGCGAGCCTGATGTTACTGTTGTTACCAAAAGCCCGCTGCGCACGTCTCGCAACTATTGCAAAAACCAAAGTGGCAGAGAAACCTCCACGTCCTCAACCAAGTCACCACAAAATCGTCGCGACAAAGTTAAAGATAAGAAAAAGAGGGATATGGAAGCTGCTTCCGCGAAGCGACGTAGCATGGTCCTTAATACGTCAGGGCCAAAGCAGGAATCTGACCAAGATACCATTAAGGAAGCATCGGAGCATGACACGGATGAGCCGCCACCTGTTCCCCTCAGGTCACCTCAACGACAGAGTATGTGCCCCATCATGGTCGTCGCAAATGTCAAGCCATCGCCTCTTCCGTCAACTACCATCGACATGTCGCCTGAGAAAAGGGGTAGCGCAGATTCAGAAACGATCAAACCTCTCTCAAGGCCCAAACCGGTTGGAGTCACCTTCCGGACCGATGAATATACGGCAACTCGACAGATTTCACCATCTCCCACTTCTTACATGAATGGGTCTCCAACACCGCCTCAGTCAGCTCGATCATCACCCACCCACAGGCAAGTGTCTCAAGATCGAACATCTCTCTCTCGACGCCGTGAATGGAACGCTGCGCGAGACAACGAGCGCAAACGCAAAGAAGCGGCATCAAGCATTAGCCCTCAGCCCAGAGCAAGGAAAGCAGCCACTACAAGAGACGAGAATGATGAGAAGGCAGCCGGTATGGAAAAGGAGGTTCTTCGACGATACGAGGCATACAGGGAGTACCGCATCAGGGAGATGGAGCGCCGTGTCCGTCGACTTGAACGAAACGGAGACGTATGGTTGCGGGCCCTAGTGCCAGTACTGGACAACCTCAACCGTACACTCGCCAACTCAAACGATGACAAACCCAGCAAAGCACAGGGCTGGGTCTCTGATGAAGACCTGTCGCAGTTGGAAAAGCCAACCCCGATTCGGCCATCGAGTCGAGGCCGGATGATGACCAGGACAGGCACATCTGAGCGGGAATTTCTGGAGCAGCTTGTGAGAACGCGCGAAGAGCTGGAAGCTGGAAGCACCAGTGATGACATGAGTGGATTTGACACCATCGAACCTCTCATGAGGGAATTGGCTGGACGATCTCGACTCAGCTTTGAAGCACGATCACTGGGAATGGATGACGAGGGGCTACTACAGTCGCTTTCCTAGTAATCACTTGGAGAAGGAACACGGAGGATTGTTATTTGATTGAACGAAAAGATTTCAGGGGGGAGGTTATCATGCATTTGGTTTTGGATATGGGATTGTCGGGTTGGTGTTCAGCGGAGATTGAGCGAAGCGTTTGACTTGGGTACCTTATTTCAACAACACTTTTATAGTATAGTATATATAGTATAGTCCTGCACCCGACGTGCATTTTCTTAGCTAACGCCTGTTACGAACTACTCTAGAGCATTATTTCTACCATGTATCTAATCTATTTAATTAATCTAGCTACTGTCTCGTCTCACACGTTGAGTTAGCCAAGTGATCAGTACCTGATATTGGCATGGAGCCTTGATTCAACTACTAGAAGATATTGCAGCCGCCAAGAAATACCAAGCTCATTTCTTTCAAGTTCAAGATCTTGACGCCTCAAGTCATCCCTTTTTCTAGGCTTCGATTTTATCTTACTGGACGATAGGGATACTGAAGGTTGGTTTAGAGGAAAGGGGTTTCATCGGGACCCTTTCGGTTATGCCCAATTGGGTATCAAGCATCTGCACATCGATCGGGGTCCATTGATCTTGCATGACGTATTCGTCGATATTCTTAAACTTTCAGGGACGTCGTCTCGTAAGGTCTAGTCTATGCATCATTGACGATATTTAGTTGCCAAGAACCAGTATGATTGACAAGTATGCTATACCCATCGTGAAATTTCCTGAATACCTAGTCGGAATCGAAGTCAATATTCGTCCATTTAATAGATGATTATCTGTCCATTGCGTGCCTTGGATCACTCTTCTCTATCAACAAGTTCTAGTCAATTCGTTCAAACACCGCTACCTATTCGGTAAAGACCCCGAAACTTTCATAATGAGCAAACCCTGGATCTTCGTTTTACCCTCAACCAGAGGAATTGGTTATGCTCTCACCCGCCACCTCCTTCAAAAAACATCACTTCCTATTCTCGCAACAGCACGCCTCCGCCATGATCCAGAAGATGTGAAAAAGTCACTCCTGCAAGGTCTCCCCGAGAAAGACGCTCTCGCCAAACGCCTCTCTATAGTCCACGCAGATGTCACAGATGACAAATCTCTAAGTGACGCTGCATCTAGAGCCGCGGAAATGTTCCCTACCGATAAAAACCATCTTCGTCTTGCGTGTGCTATTCCTGGTATTTTGAGGCCTGAGAAGAACCCGAGCCAAATCGATGCAGATGCCAGTTTAGAGCAGTTCCGCATCAACACTGTTGGCCCTCTTCTTCTCATCAAGCACTTTGACCAGTTCCTTCCTAGACGGACGACCAAGTTGGAGGACAGCCCAGAGAGTGACCAAGTCAAAATGCCTTCGCATTCTGTATGGCTAAGCATGGCCGCTCGCGTGGGTTCCATATCTGACAACAGGGCTGGTGGGTGGTTCTCATACAGAGCAACCAAAGCGGGTGTCATCAGTATCGGCAAGAGTTACGACATTTTTCTGAACGGGCGAAGCGGTGACAAAGCTATTTCAATTAGCTATCACCCAGGAACGGTCAAGACGGACCTGAGTAAGGACTTCTGGAGCAGTACAAAGGAAGATAAGCTATTCAGCCCTGAATTTGCTGCGGACAGGCTTGTTAGTGTTGCAACAGGCATGGCGTTGGAAGGCCGTGGAAAATGCTGGGACTGGGATCATAAGGAGATCCTCCCATAGATGAGACATGGCGGCATTCTATGAAAACCTCAGTCGAGTAAGCGAACACTAAAGACGTATGGTAGTCGCGTAACTAAGATTGATTAAACCAATATCTGCCATACCGTTACCCCTTAGCCCGGCCGACCTACATAGCCGTACATAGTCATATATGAGACTATTAACAGCCAGGCACAGCTGTGCGCTGTCTGATCGAGGTCTTCGTACCAAGCCAAGTCGCATCAAACACATCATCAAGCATGTCCATCTATAGTTCTACCTCTTGAAAAGATGCCCCGTCAGGTGTTGGCGTAGCTTTCGCGGTCGATTCGTCCTCTGCTCCGTCATCCTCTGACTTTTCTTCCTTGTCATCCTGTTCAAGTTTACTCGACTCCCCGTTACTGGCTGGCCGCAGGGCAACCTTCTGTTCCTCTTTGTCTTCGAACCGCACTTTTTGTTCTTCTTGTGGCGACGTCTTGGCCTTCTGTTCGACCTCTACATCTTCGTCATCACCGCTGCTGCTGTCACTTGAGCTTCTCTTCCCGCCGTTCTCCTGCGTTTCTTTCTTTTCTTTCTCTTCCTCCTCTCGTGTCTTCTCATCCAGCTTCTCCTCCGATCGTGAGGCCGATTCGCCGTTCTGAGAGGGCGGTACTGGTAGGCTCTTCTCCGCCTTCTCTGGGGGCGGTGGGGGTGTAGATTCCTCGACTGGGGGGCCAGGCTTCATTGCATCGAGATAGAACTTCGTGACACCAAGAATACGGCCACTTTTCTCACAAGCCTCAACCCATTCAGGACGCACGACAGGAATGTTGCTCTCGACGGCCTTCTCCCATTGCTGCCCACGACCTTCTGTTGTAACGAAATGCGTCGTATCAATACGGACCCCATCCACAAGTTTGGCCCCAATGCGCTCAACAGCCTTTGTCAGGTTGTCCTTGACAGAGCTTGGCATTATACCTGTGGTAATGGTGATACCTCTCAAGTCTGTCATCTTATGTGTGCGTACTGGTACCCGCTCACTGACATAGGTACCCGCGCTTGTGCGTAGAACCAGATGGAAGGTGTACTCGGTGTCAACAGCAAGACCACTGATCTTTGTGCTGTGCATTTGCAATGGGCGAGGAATATTTCCGGCCTTCTGGCCATTTCGGTAGAGGCTTAGAGAGATCAGGTCGGCAGTAGCAAGCTCAATAGGATCCCACTCTAGTACGACCGAAGTCTGAGTGGCATTGCGACAACGCAGAACGGGGGTTGTAGGCTCGGAAGCTCCAAAGGAATTGTAAATACTGTCTTGGAGGGCACGGAATGCGCGATCGGCGGCGGCTTCTTTGGTCGCATTTTGCGAGACGTTGATGTCAACGATGCTGCCTGAGGAGATGTTGGGAGGCAGGAGGATAGAAGGAAACTCGATCTGAAAGTCAAAGACACCTCGTATTAGCAAATAAACGAGCGAAGAACTCGTAAGGTCTCTAACTTACCAAGCGCTTGTCCGGTGTTAAAAGGACAGTGACGCCGGCATCAACCTTGCCGACAGTGAGAGAGACCAGCATCGTAGGTAGCTAGAGTCGCAGTGGACAAAGGAGAGCGATGACGGGGGAACACGCGACCACAATGGAAAGCGAAACGAGGGTATCTTCAATTGGAGAAAACTGCAGATGCGGTTAACTGTAACGTCTGCGCTGAGCAAGATGATGTAGCTGGTCGAAGGGAGGTTGGCGATAATATGTAGTTAGTATGTAGGTAGCTTGCGGGAATGCGATAGGGATAGGAACGTTGACGTGGAGTCTTTGGGGCAGTTGTATTGATACAGCAGTTGCATCCAATGCAAGCCACTCAAACCAAGGACATAGAGCTCAAGTTTTGGCGTCGGCTTAGGCACGGAACCGCGCGTGGCTAAACAGGGACGACCCGACTCCTGGGGGGTGAAAAGCCCCTGTATTTTACGGATAGGTCCCTACTAAGATCAACCCCCTAGTGAGGCTCCCTAGGTAGGTACCAAGGTCCCTAGGGGCCAAGCTACCCTCATAATTGGTAGTATTGGATGGAACCATGGACAATTTCGCTCTTGCTTTCCGCAGCTACATAATTCTTCTGACTCCCTCGCGCTACCCCAGTTGAAGACCAAAGCTTGTTACGCATCCATTACTGTCTACTAGGTACGTAGTATTCACATGAAAAAGGGTTTGCGTCAACTGCTCCATCTTTTAAATTGCAGTATGTTCTTAATTTAGCTCATACGTGCGTTGTTGCTTGAAAAAAGAAGAAAAGAGTCATTAGTGTATCCCTGAATATCGAAGGAATGAAATTCATTTAGAGGGTTCCAAACGAGCTAGAAGCAAGGTCTGTTGAGAGAAACGCGGTTCAGCGAAAGCCATTGATATTAAAATTCCCAGTACGTATACACATCATGAGTACTGTACACCCACGGCCTAATTCGAAACCCATAACAGTCGCAGTGTCCTTTGATCCTCCAGTGTCTTATACAAGGGCTCATTTTGATTTCAGCAAGCCCCAGGTAGAGTGTACCTCTCAACGCCAACGTCTACCACTGGATACTCGATGCCATTCTTGGTTTTGTCGTCGCAGCGGTTTCGCGCAAGTGTTGCCGCCATTTTCTCTGCACTGCCTTTGCTACCGCCTCCCCGAGAATATGAGCTGGAGCTCGACTAACTTTCAGCGGGTCAAATATTCTTATCGTGACTGTCCCCCGTGGACCATCCATTGAGAATCCCAAGTCTCTTGCGGCTGACCAAACAGCCCCCGATATCCTCTTCACCATTAAGCTTCGCACAACAGCCGAGCCCCCTTGGCCTGTGGTAAACACCCACAGTGGTTCTTCTTCCAACTTTTGTCGATACTTGTACATAACTGCCGGTAGCATTGACGACCCCCCAGGTCTTAGATGATGTAGGTCAAATGGATTTAATATATACTGGGGTCCGTATTGAATTTGGCAGCCGAAGAGGGCGTTGACTTGTCGGTCATCAGCGCCCAAGTCCAGGCGCTCGGCTTTAGAGTTGTCCCATTCGATGCCCGTCTCCTGGAGAAACGCCCATATCTCTGGTGAAGTGTATAATCGCCCCGATGACGAGATATGGGAGCATGGGTGTGCTAGTGGTACAAACAGTTTGTATGGTTTCTGTTTCTGTTTCTTTGCTCGCTCGCGCGTCTGCGGTTGTGAGGATTTGTTGATATTTGGCTCAGTGTGTCGAGGATTCGGATTTCTCGTCTTTTGTATATGTTTCGCGGAAGAATTGTAGAAGCGGCAGACGGGGGACCGTATCGAGCGTATGAGGCTACAGCATGATGGATTTCGTGCTATCGACATGACGACTGAGGAACCGCAAGACTCTTGTACATGCGTGTTATGTCGGAGTTGAGTTCGGAGCTATAGGTCTCGTGATGGCGACAAGATCGAGCTGGAAGTTAATGCGCTGGGAAATGGAAATTTTCATAATTCATCGCAAGTCTACATGATGGATGCTTGGAAGTTTGGCTTTCCTATTACCAATGATACCCACCAGCAGCGCCACATGTGGCAGTGCACTACGCAGGTGAGCTACGGGCACCTGTACTGATAATCAGTGTTCATTTTTCCCATACTGTCCAGTTCTTTGTCCCGTTGGGTCACATTAAATGCTAGCGAGATATAACCTTTTGCGCTGAAAAATTAGGATTTCAAAGTATCTACGGGGCACCTTTGGAGAGTTTGGATCACTCAGCCGCCACACTTTGACTCATAGTGGGCTAGTATATTAGGAAATCACAGGCCAGTCGCCCCATTTTCCATTGCGCCCAACCACTCATTCTAGATTCCTCAGTCAGCAGAGCAACTTGAGGAAAAATCCACTTTCTGTCCAAGGCCGTCAACGACACCACAACATCATCACCAACTTTCTTCCCCCACCAAACCTCTCTCTTTCAACAAACATTTAAAAGAATAACAAACCGCCAACATGCCTAAGAACAAGGGAAAGGTAAGCCGTTCGGACCCCCATCAACTCTCCTATCGTCCTTTCCTTCCTTTTTTTTTCCCCCTCTCAAGTCGCATTTTCACGCGTGCGATCGCTGCCCCGCCCCCACTATCGTTGCCCAAGTTCTACCGCAAGTGACAAAGGGAGTATCACTAACAGTCCTATAGGGTGGAAAGAACCGCAGACGTGGTACCAAGGAGAACGACGACCAGCGCCGAGAGCTGACCTTCAAGGAGGATGGCCAGGAATACGCTCAGGTGATTAAGATGCTCGGAAACGGTCGTCTCGAGGCTCTTTGCTTTGACGGCAGCAAGCGTCTTGCCAACGTGAGTAGCCCTCGAATACCTACCTGCCTCGCAGATATGTTCCGCAACGGAATCATGACAGGCAGTCCTTCTCTACAGTACATAACTAACTCCTGTTCCAGATTCGCGGAAAGATGCGCAAGAAGGTCTGGATTAACCAGGGTGATATTATCCTCCTTTCTCTCCGAGACTTCCAAGACAACAAGGGTGATGTTATTCTCAAGTACACTGCCGATGAAGCCCGTACCCTCAAATCCTACGGCGAGCTTCCCGAGAACGCCAAGATCAACGAGACCGACTCTTTCGGACAGGGCGAGGATGGCGAGGCCTACTTCGAGTTCGGCGATGCTGACTCGGACGACGAGTCTGATGATGGCGCTGCCAACAAGAAGGAGGTCGACATTGACGACATCTAAGCTCCTCTAAGCAACCATCAAATCCCCTTCTCTCTCCGCTGAGCCCCCGACCCGGTCTGGGATACTGCGTGTATTCCTTGTCTGGCGTTGTTGATACTGTCTTCTCTCTCAAACCCGGAGCCGAGCATTAAAACTTGGTGCGTCGGGTCCCACGACAGTAGTTGCTGTGGAGTCATAGACAGCCGTGGTGGGAGGGACGTCATGGCTTGTCGCTCTCTTGTCGATTTACAATACAACGTTTGGGTTTTCAGTCTTGGTCTGTTATTAAGGTAGTTTACTGGACGAACATGGTTTTTTTCTTAACGCGTCATGATCATCGCATTCGTCTCAAAAGCACAGGGTTACTTAGACAAGACAAGAAAATGCATGCAATTCTCTTATACATATTTTTCATTTTTTCGCTACATTCAAGTTGTGGTCAAAGTAAAGACTAACACTGTCTGCTGGACTCTTTGTTCTCTCAATCTGATGATCTCGAGCAACTCCTCAACACCAAACAAGTTTTCCCTTGAAACGTAACCACATCTTGCTATGCCAGTATTTACGATGGGTATAGACACACGCGAACCGCTTGAATACATAGAGTGTCTTGAATTGCTGCGCCAATCCGCGGCCGAGAAGCATCTGCAACTGAATGATCTGAAATCACCGTCGCCATGGCTCGAGCGTGCACGTTTGGCGACCATCGAGTCGAGGAGCTTTTTGTCGGCTTTGTTTGCCAATCCTTTCCTTCCTTCTCTTGAGTTTTGTATCTTTTATCCCGCCTCACCAATCGTCGTTATCGCTCTCGTCATCTAAAAAAAGAAAAAAATGTTAGCACAGATTTCTTGTCCAGTATCAAGCAGACATCAAGACTTACCGCTCTTGGAAACCTTTTCCTTTCTCTTCTGTAGTGCAGCAGCCAGAGCATCAGCCATACCTCCACCGCCTCCTGAAGCACTTACAGCTGAAGCTGTCGCACTGTTGCCACCAACGTCGCTGCCACCAACTTGAGCGCCGCTGCGGTCACGAATTTGTGAGCGGTCAACCTTCTTGAGAGCACCGATGCCGCCAGCTTGTTGAATGCCCGCCAGCACAGCTGAACGACTAGTATCTCCGCCAGCAGGAAGAGAAGGAGCACCACCGCTGCCAGAGGGCATAGGAGGCGGAGGAGGTGGGGGTGCACCAGGACCTCCTGGGGGTGGTGGTGGGGGAGGGGGGGGAGCACCACCGCTTGGTGGCATAGGAGGAGGTGGAGGAGGAGGAGCACCAAGACCTCCAGGGGGTGGAGGTGGTGGCGGTGGAGGTCCGCCGTTTGTAGTTGGCGGCAGTGGAGGAGGAGCTGGAGGATGGGAACTGACGGCCGGAGGAGGGGGTACCGGCCGTGTGCTCGGAGGCGGCAGTGGTGGAGCTGAACTTGTTGGCACCTTCGGGGGTAGGGGCGGAGGAAGAGCTGCAGGGGGTTCGTTGCGCGGCGGAGGTGGAGGAGGAACCGATCCACGGCTCGGTGTTGGTGGAGGCACTCTTGAGCCAGAGAAAGGAGGAGGGACTCCGAACTTGTGGCTCTCGTTTTTCGTCGAGTCAACTGGTGTCTTTGCTGGTCGTGGGGGAGGAGGAGGTCCAGGATTAGGTGCTGCCGGAACAGCTCTTGGAGGCTCAGAATGAGCGAATTTGCCTGCATCTGCCAGTGGAGGAGGCACACCAAACTTCGGTCGAGGAGGTGACGGCTGTCGCTCGGGTACTGCGTCGGCCTTGCCGGATCGTCTCGGCGCCGGAGGGGGTGGGGGGCCGCCCTTTCTCGGAGCCGGTGGCGCGGGAGGTCCGTCCGCTTGGGACCGGCCACCAGATGGCGGAGGCGGCGGCGGGGGTGCTCGAGAGCTTCGTCCATCGTTACCATTGGCGGATAGTGCTGACGCTGGGGGAGGTGGTGGTGTGGATTGAGGTCGAGACGCCTTCTGCTGCTCTTCCCTCAAGAAGTCTACAATGAACTCCTGGTTCTCCTTAATGAAATCGTCTGTCAAACCTTTGTCTTGAAGGTCTGCTCCGAAGTGTTCACGCCAAAGAGGATCGAAGGCATCTAAAAGAGAGAATTCGGAATGTTTGTGGCCATTGAGGTTAGGCGTCGAGTTGATAATATGGTGTTGGATGGAGTTTGCAGGCATTCGTGGGGACTCTGGAGGCGTTGGGCCTGAAGGATGGTGAGTGGAATGACGATGGCTGAATAGACCTCCCAATAAGCCATGCTTGTGGGACGGTTGAGCTCCGCCTCCAAAGGGTGTCGCCTTGGTAGCTCGGCTTGCGTTCTTTTCTCGCTCGTCCATCTTCTTTTTGAATTGTTTGGCCTCCTTTTCGTCGACGAAGCTCAGGCCAGCCAGGCATTCCTCGAGTTCGAATGTATGAAAAAAAGTTCGGTCCTGGTTGTAATTCCATGTGTCGAAGATCTCCTGGTCCCAAATGACTCCTCGATTGGTAGGCTGGGTGAATTAGCAAGCAATAGTCAGGCGTGGCAAGGAGCCACAAGGGGGCCGCATCATGAGCATACCGAGATATCGACCATCTTGATCCAGTAGGTGTTTCCAACTAAATCATTTACGAGCGCAACGGCTCCTTGTATCCCGGTATAAGTCCATTTTGAACGATTGGGGTAGGCGACGTAGAGTCTGGCCACAGCGACGGCCTGGATCTTGTTGGATTGCTTAGGGATAAACCGTTTGACGGTATCCTTATCGTCGTCGTTGAGAATGGACGGCATCGTTACGTCGCAATCGAGAAGAGGTAAACCGGATCGGTATCGTAAATTCAAGTCTCTTGGAGACGCCTTAACGAAGGCTATGGACGAAAGGTAAGACGAATTTGTCAGTTGTCGCCTCGGCTGGACGCGTGGAGTGGCGCTTGTCAATTAAGTCTCTCCTCTTTCAGCGTCTCTTCAGAACCGCTTGGCGCTCGCGTGAGGTAGCCGAATTCTGGGCGAAGGCAGCGCAATCCTTAAGAGGTTATGTAGGTAGTTGACCAAGAGAGTGTATGTACGCCCGAGCTTTCGGGCTTGAGTGGTAAGAGATCCCTCCCAGATGGCGTAGGCGAAGTGAGCACGGATAGTCGTCGCACGCACGTCAAAAGGTGTTCGTCCGTGGGGAACGGAACAGACTGGGCCAGCGGTCGGTCGATTAGGATGATGTGTGAAGACCAGGCCAGACCAGTCTAAGACAGATGAGCACCAGCCACACACAGGTGGTTCACAGTGGAGGCTAGGTACCTAGATACAGAGCACTTGCAGACGCTGACCTGATCACAGCCACAAATCAAAGTGGGGTAAACTACGTCTTTATGCAGATGCCAAAGACGACAGGTTTGGGTTGTCTTCGTGGTGGGAATGGGCAACGTTGGCTTTATGGTGACAATTCACGATTATGCCTGTGACTGTGCTTGTGACATGCTCTCACTAGGTACCTAACAAAATGGCTTGTGTGATGCAGCGGTCAACTCTCCAAACTTCAGGTATCGAAATGTTCACCGCTTCAGCCACCTTACTGGGTTCTAGAAATTTCGCAGGGCAGCAGTCGACTGTTGGGCAGCCAGAGTTTGGCAACCTAGTAGGTAGATAATCGCTGTCTTTTGGTGGAGCTCTTTAAGGGGGCACAGCTGATGGGTGCGTGGGAAGAGATAGTTGGCTATTCACTTATGGAGAGACCTCAGTTATTACGAATGCAGGAACTGAGAATAGTCCGGGTGTATCTGATAAATTGTACTTGAGAAGAGTGACCGGCTTGTTCCAGAACTCATCTAAGTTCGAATCGTGTCTCATGTCTGATTAACGTATTCAGATCAGAGTATGGTTTCGGGTCCGAGGGGGTCCATAAGAGGGGTATAGGCCGCTAGCAGCCCGGAACGGATGGATATCAGCTAGCTGCGTGTCAGGCTGTCGGACTCAGTAGACAGCAGGTCAGTGTCATGATGCGAGCATGAAACTGCCCGAGGAATAGTCGGATGTACTCAGACACGTTCAAATGCGAGTTACAAATAGTATAGTTGATTTGTATGTAATATTAATCGTAGTTATCCCGTTCCCATATCTAGTCATGCAGTCATAGTCATGTCGGCGGAGTAGCTTCCATTGCAGAAGTCACCTGCTTATTTCTTGTTCAGAGCCTCCATCTTGGCCTTGCGCTCCTCCTTGGTACCCTCTTCTTGGGGCATGTCCTTGGGCACTGCGGGTCCGGGGTGAGCGTTAAAGGCAGAGACCTTGTCCTTGGCTTCGTCCTTGATGGGCTGAATGGAGAATTGCTTCTCGCCCTGTTAAGAGTGACGGTCAGTACCGTATTGCATGACAAAGAATGGAGCTCGAGCGTAGCTAGCTTACCTCGTTCTGTTGCTCGCTACCAGGCATTTTGGTGGTTTGTTTCTGTTCTTGAAAAAAGAGAAAGGATTATATTTCACTTGAGCTTTTTTGGTTGATTTGATCTCAGGTCGTATCGAGAAGCGAGTCTGGGTTATCAACGTCTTTTTGTAGTCACTGGCTCTATCATGACCGATGACGTCGTCACCCTACGTAAGACAGGTAGTACCTACGCTTTCTGTGGCGCGAGGGCGACGGGCAAAAACGCAAGCTCTTTGGAGAAGTGTCACAAGAGGTCAAATTCAGTTTCTCATTGGCCCTTCTGAGTCTAAGAACCGCCGATGTTGACCACGATTATCTAGGGCTCTGCATGATCTTGGAAATGACGTGGATAGCAATTGGAGGTGTGCACAACGTATAAGTGGGCATGTCCTAGACATCCGTTGACAACCTTCCATCATGAAATCAAGGCTGCCGGCAGTCGCGGTTTTAGTAACAATCCACACAATAACAAGCTGCACGACATTATACTATACAAGATGATTTGCAGTAGTCTTGTTGGCATGATATCCAGATGTAATACTACCGAGCATGGTTAATCAAGCCCAAATAGCAATACGTACATTAGTACTGGTAGGTTAGTAGCTACTACCTCCAGCTACTGCACCAGTACCTGACCCATTCCGTCACTTTTATGAGAAATCCTCCAAGTTCTACGTATTGCACTATTACCATGTAGAGTTTCCTGGCTATTGAATGAGATCCCTTCATGTCCGGTATGAGTATCATGACCGCCATTATTCATTTAGACTATATCATGGTTACTCTGCATAGGTAACTGAGACCTACCTACTTAGATAGTCCCCGCCATCGCTTGGGGCTCCCCACTAAGATCTTCGATGCATCATTCACAGTGACCATCCCTTCCTTTACAACACCTTCCCTACCAGCACCAACACTTGGGTGGCCCGCATGTCTGAAAATAATGCTCCCCAACCAGTGAAGCTTTCACTCCCGCTTGTACGTCAGTTGAAGAATCCGGCTCATCGGACTCGTCTAATTTTTGCAGGAATATCAGCAGAGCTTATTCCAGGAGCTTCGCGCCGAAGATGAGCTTGTCGTGATTGCCCGCGGACTTGGGCTCATGCGCCTTGTCAACAATCTCCTCCACTCCTACGACGCGGCTGGTAACAATTTGATTGTAATAGTCGGTGCTGACGACCGAGAAAATGGATGGATCGGAGAAGCACTGGCCGAGCATGCGGCCATCAGCATGTCCCCCAAAGCGCGTGGCTTGACAGTGGTCAACACCGATTTCCAGAGCGTTGGCGCAAGAGAAAAGATGTACGCCGGAGGTGGGATATTCAGCATCACGTCGCGAATCTTAGTCGTCGATCTTCTCACAAGTCTGCTCAATCCTGAGTCCATCACTGGTCTCGTTGTACTCCACGCTGACCGTGTCATCGCAACATCGCTTGAGGCGTTCATTCTCAGGGTTTACCGCCAGAAGAACAAGATTGGGTTCCTGAAAGCCTTCTCTGATAACCCGGACCCTTTCACAACCGGTTTCTCGCCTCTAGCTACTATGATGAGGAACCTCTTTCTTCGAAAAGCCTCCTTATGGCCCCGGTTCCATGTCACAGTCGCACAATCCTTGGAAGGAAAGAAGAAGGCCGAGGTCATCGAACTCGAAGTCCCTATGACGGACTCGATGCGAGACATTCAGACCGCAATTATGGAGTGCGTTGAAGTCAGCATCCACGAGCTCAAGAAAGGTAACAGCGGCCTGGAAATGGACGATTGGAACCTCGACAGTGCTCTTCTCAAAAATTTTGACGTCATTGTACGACGACAACTGGATCCCAACTGGCATCGTGTGAGCTGGAAGACTAAACAGATTGTCAATGATTTGACTGTTCTACGGGGCATGCTTAACTCAATTCTATCTTACGATGCTGTTTCCTTTCTCCAACATCTCGACACCATTCATGCAGCTCATTCTCCACCTCCAGGATCGACGCGACAAAACCAATCGCCATGGCTCTTCCTTGATGCTGCTCAAACTATATTCGATACTGCAAGACGACGAGTATATTCCGCTAGTGCCAGGGATGCCGCTCGGGAAGATAATATTGATTCCCTAAGGCCTGTCCTTGAAGAACTACCCAAATGGGCACTATTGGCTGAGGTCCTGGAGGAGATCGATCGCGATTTATACTTCGAGCCCCCCGTTCGAGACGACTCCAATGGCACCATTCTCGTGATGTGTTCAAACACTGATACATGCCGCCAACTACGAGACTTCTTGCAGACAATGCACGTTAAGCCCAAGGCAGAGAAGCGTGCTAGTGAAGACGAGGAAGACGAACATAAGCCTTCTGCGGCTTTCATGATGCGAAGGCGGCTGCGAAACTACCTGAAATGGAAGAGACAATTTGCTCAAGTCAGCGCAACCCTCTTTTCTGAAAATCAAAGGGCTCTCAATGGTGCTACCGACACCCGCCCAGGCTTTGGAGGATTGAGGGGTGGAAAGGCTCCTGCGAACAAGAGGCGACGAGTGCGTGGTGGGGGTAACGCCGGTACAAGTATGGGCCGCGCTGAGAATGGTAGCATCATGCAGTATATCGAGAAGCCAGGAGAAGTTGCCGATCTTATGGCTGAGGTTCAAATCACGGAAGAGGAAGCTCAACAGAAAGAAGAAGTTGTATCGGACCCGCTCGACAACATGGAAGAGTACTTCAAGATGTACGACATGCAAGACCTCGTTGTTGTCCATGCATACGACGGAGACCAGGACGAGCATGTTCTAGAAGAAACCAAGCCGCGATATATCATCATGTATGAGCCCGACGCAGCTTTCATCCGTCGAGTCGAAGTATACAGGTCCTCGCATAACGACAGGAATGTGAGAGTATACTTTATGTACTACGGAGGCTCGGTGGAAGAACAGAGATATTTATCGTCCGTCCGCCGAGAGAAAGATGCATTTACTAAACTCATTAAAGAAAGGGCAAGCATGTCACTCGTTATGACGGTCGACCCAACAGAGGATCCTGAAGAAGCGTTCCTCCGCACTGTCAACACTCGAATTGCTGGCGGTGGAAGGTTGGCAGCAACAGCTGAGCCACCACGCGTGGTGGTAGATGTACGAGAATTTAGGTCCTCCTTACCTTCCCTTCTTCATGGTCGCTCCATGGTTATCGTTCCATGCATGCTCACGGTTGGCGATTACATCCTGTCGCCAAACATTTGTGTGGAACGCAAGTCCATTAGTGATTTGATCTCGTCGTTCAAAGATGGTCGACTCTACAGCCAGGCCGAGACTATGTTTCAGTACTACAAGAGTGCGATGCTTCTGATCGAGTTTGACCAAAATAGGTCCTTCACGCTCGAGCCCTTTGCCGATCTCTCGGGGAGTCTGAATAGTGTCGCACCAACAAACATGTCATCCGACCTCCAATCCAAATTAGTGCTACTTACTTTGGCATTTCCCAAATTACGCATTATCTGGTCATCTTCGCCCTACCAAACAGCTGAGATCTTCGAGTCTCTCAAAACGCAGGAAGAGGAGCCGGACCCGGTTGCTGCTGTCAGAGCGGGTCTTGATAAGGACACCCGGGCCGAGGAGCAGGCTTTCAACCAGGAGCCGCAGGATATGCTTGCCATTGTGCCAGGTGTTACACCACAGAACATCAAGAACTTGGTGCTCAAAACAGAGAGTATTCGCGAGGTTGCTAATATGTCGGTGCAAGAATTGACGCCCCTGGTAGGCGCAGCAGCTGGGCGGCAGATTCACGGGTTCTTCACCCGCAATGTAATGGAAGAGGACGATTAAATTAATGTCAGCTCTACTAAATTGTGGCGGAATTTGATAGATAACGCTCGTGCATGTCTTGACAGGACTTTAGCCTCATGCTTAACTTAATTAACTGGGTCGGCTGGGGAGTTAATTCATGCTAGTAGGTAACAGTCACTTTCACAACGGTAGCAAATGTTCGTAGAAAGATTTTCGGATTGGGTATCCTAATGCTATCGCAGGAATACAAAGGGAATCACAAAAGAAACCAAATACGGCCGTTATCGTGACAGTCGCAAAACTCCTCCATCATGTACCGGTGTATCATTATCCATCCTCCTTTCCCCTTCCTTCTCTCTCAAATTGGTATCACAAAGCGCTTCTTGATTCTTTGGCGTTCAGAGGGAGTGTTGGAGCTTCTATACTCTCGTCGACCTCATATGGTTGCCCGTTCGTCGCTTGGTGCGTCCGCCCTTGCTACCGCAGTAGCCGCAGGTGAGGAAGCTGACGATGATGCCGCAGAAGCGGACGACGGCACTGATAATGGCCTGGAGGATGCGGCCGATACCGCCAATAACAGCCATGATTGCATCTCCAATGGTTTGGAGGCAAGATTTGATCTGTTGAACCGTTTGTCAGTGGAAGTTGAAGATAAAGTTGTGGCTGTGGTGGCTTACGCAAGATACAACACCGCCCATTTTGGATGATTTGTTTAGTGTCGAGATTCAGGTGGTTTGTGTTTAGGTGTAGATAGTCTTGGTCAAGACTAGTAGATTATCGTAGGAAGTTGTAGGAAGAGTTGTTGATTTTGTTCTTGTTGTTGTGATGGAATAAAGTTCTGTCTCCTAACAGCCTCTTCGCAGCCTTATATATCTGAGAAAAAAAACCGTTGCTTGTCAATCGGGACTGTGCAGGGATGGTTTTCTTGATCATACCTGCCATGCCTATTCCCTTTCATCATGTTATTTCCTGACGTCAGTTTGCTATCTCGGATTTCCTCATGACCCATACTCCAGCCACACTAAACGCTGTGGCTAAAGGAAAGCTGGTCATTGATTGGCCATGGCCCGGATCATGACGTACAAGATGTGGCTGATCTACAACGAAAAACAAGGTCTGTAATATTTGCTGCCGCTGTAGCCTTTGCGGCTCTGATTGAGGTTACAGCCGCGACGTCAGGGAAATCGATCTTTCGTGATGATTCCCTGCAATCATGACTCCGCTGATTTTCCCGCCCTTACCCCTACAGATTGTGCGACACCACCTTGTCTGTCACATCAATTGGCGTGGTGAATTTGATTAAACAACCTTGAAGCAGGGTTCGAAAAAGGAAATACTTCTGACGTCACGGTGTCATGATGAGATCAATTCATAGGAGAGTATGTGTCACCGCGACGATCAACCCCGAAGCTGGACATCGGAGAGAAAACAGGATGCTCACAGGATTCAACAGAGGCAATTTCGTTGGCCGTCATTCTTGGGTAGCATTAAGCTCTAGAATTGCACGATGGATGATGCCTGTCATGATGTGTCTGCTGTCCGTATTTGGGTATCTTTCGCTTCAACTCCAGCCTCATTGAGATAAGTAGGTATCTATGTAGTTTCCAGAAAATGCTCTAGTTCATACAGTACAGGTGGCTTGTTGTGCCACGGAAAAGTCAGGGACATCCAAATCTATTGTTGGAAATGCTCATGCTTCAACACGTGTTTGTACATGTGTCAACAGCTCATCACAGCCACTTCTTCTTCTGCTGAGATACGGCCTTCTGCATGTTGATTCGACGTAGCATCTCGCGGTTCCTGTTATCAAGAAGTCCCAACGCTGATCGATCATCGGGGAAATAGGCCTGTCCGCGGGCGATCGCCGGTCGCTCGTCGTCCATCATCTTGATACGCTGTACACGGCGGAGCTTGGTAAGGCCGTACCAGCACACGATAAGCGAGAAGACGACTGAAACTCCGGTGACGCCAGCGAAGCCCCAGTTGGTCTCCTCGATAAAGTTTTCCAGGTTCATGCCGTAGAGGCCAGCCAAAAATGTTCCCATTGCCAAGCCCAAGGTCCCAACGCTGAACTTGAGGTCGAGCAACATGAGAGCGTTACGATTGGCATCTAGAATAGCACGAACGCTGCGAGTGTCAGCCATATGATCAGTACTAAGTCAAGGGTAACCTTACATTTCTTCCGTGTTTCGGATGCCAGAGACAAGGTTGCCGGCTTCTTGCACAATTTCGTCCGTCAGTTTGTGGTATGACTCCAAGAGCATTTCGACCTCCGTATGGTCATCCTCTCCTCGATACAAGTCATGGGTCTTCTCAGTCAAATACATGTCGGCAAGATCGTCATCAGCTTCAAGGAGATCCTCAATTGCATCTCTGACGAGCTTGGCCTTCTGTTCGAAAGTGCTCACTCGTTTAGACAAGATAAGAAGCATGCGCAGCTTGTGTCTATCAATGTCGTCTTCAAGTTCGCTGAGAATGTGCATGACGGGCTCACGTACCGCCTCAAAGTCAGCCTCAAGCTCGGACGTTACCGAAGTCAGCACTGCTTCTAGCGCACGGAACTCGTAGGGAAGAGAGGCTGATCCCGGAGCATTCTTTTGTTGCAGCTTTCCTTGCAAGTCGTACATGAAGGCCGATTGGGGATATGACGTCTTGGAACCGTAGATATCGAAGAGGAGGACTCGGTCATGTTTGATTAACACTTTGAGATGAAGCAAATTGAGCAAGATGGCCGAAGGGCGAATGAGGATGTGAGGTAGGTTGGAAGAATCGATTTTTCGCAAATCCCGGGGCAGCAGGCCAAACTAGAAGACAAGCATTGTCAGTATTGTAGGATGCAAGCTGGTATATTCGTCCATACCTTGGCAATGAGCTCAGTCTTCTTGAACTCCCCGTCGACAAGAATCACTCTTCCATTCTCGTCAACTTCCGTGCAACGCAGGCGGGGTTCGGATGCCGCCTTGGCTGCAAGTGTTCGTCGATTATTGAAAATAGACGAGTTGTCGCCATACTCGTCATGGTTTGGGAGGTCGTCTGGCTTCAGAGCCTTGTCGTCCTTCTTTCCTGCGAACCTGAAAAAGCTATTCCATGTCGGCGTGTAACTTGAGTTCGAATTCCGGCCTCTCCAGAAACCACGCGCATTGCGGCTCGTGCTGAAGCAGCTTTGTGGTGTCCAAGGTTGGTTTCGGTTTTGAAACCTTGGAGTAACAGGGTCTGTGTCGAAGAGTGGTGATGGTTCTAGTCTTGTGACTCGTCTTTCGCATATCGTAGTCAATGCTAAGGATTGCTTTCGTGTCGCCAGAGTGGTCAATGATCGAGCGCGGCAGCATAAAGCTGGAGTAGTTATTGTGTCTCGACCATGATTTGCGCTCGCGAAGGCCCTCTTGGACTGATACCGAAGGAATCGTAAAAGGCTTCGGGACGGGACCGGAAGACACAGAGTTGACTGCATCACTAAGTATTGATATTACGCCGGCATTGGACTTGGCTTTGATTCGAGACCACTCAAGGAAATTAGGTAGGTAATAATAAGCTCTTATCAATCGTTGACGATATAGTAGGTACCCTAGGAAAAGTCGATGTCACAAAAAAATGCCTTAGTCATCAGGCCCAAGAGCCCGGTTCTGCGCTGCGCTGCGGCGGATCTCGGGGAACACCAGACTCGATATCAATAATAAGATATCTGGGTATGGAACGCAAACGTGCATATGGTTTATAGCTACTATGAAGAATTCCGATAGAATATTTAGGATATCAGTATACATAGACCTAGAATCTTGCATATAGATTTTTTTATACATGAATCTTTGCTCAATACCTGAAACTTTACTCATCAAAGTTAGCATCCATTTCATATCCTCACTCACTCACCAATTAATTACCTAGGTATAAACTTTCCCCTCTACCAAAACATTGGATCCAAGCTTTGCCAAAGACACCTCACGCACGCACTCTCAATAACGACGTCAATGGGTCTTCATACGACAAAGTGGGACTTGTCGAGGCATGACTGTGCTAGGCACTGAAAGCTACGTTATTTCTGCACATCTGTATGAGCCTCAGACCCATTGCTATTGACTTGGCGTGAAGGCTTATCTCTGCATACTCGTCGCAGGAGTCGCATTTTTCGAGAGAACATAACTTCTCCAACCAGGCCGTAAGCTTCATACGATGGGTCTCACACCCATTCGCATTCGGGGCAAGCGAAAATATCCATCTATAAACAAGCCATTGCCTCTAGCCATTTCAGCATCTACGCCTGGCACCCACGACATCCGTCCTCTCAAAAAGATGAGACGCTCGCTATCCAATGTTCTCGCTTCCCGGGCAACACGATGGAGACCAACTCTTCAAGCTCTTCCCGCAGAGATTCTCGAGAGCATATTCCTTTACAGCGCCAACGTCGCTTTGCCTGGCGCCTCATTGCTCATGGGCGCCAAGTTATCTGGACGTGCGACTCTCATAAGATTCCTTATTTGGGCTTTTCACGAGACCTGGGATCAATCATTTGGAAATATTTCGACCAGCGCGGAGAAGGACAAGAGTGATGTAAGCGGTGATCGGCAGCTTCAGGTACGGTGGCACCTTCGAATTTGCTGCGGTTTTCACGCAAGATACCTAACATGATATTATTTATAGTCGACGATATTAGATCTGCCATGGATCAGTGCTGACTTTATCGTCCAAGCGCAACAGGCTTGGGCAGACACTTATGCCAGGAACCGTCATTACGGCCATTATCTTCCCCGGTTGGACGCAGAAGGTGACCCCTTCATGTATAGTCATGACCACCAGTTCGAAGGCGGTGTCGGACACTTCAAGTCCAAAGAATGCTTCGAAGCTGATTATAAGGAGATTCTATCCTGGAAACCGTTTGAGAAGGTCGGGGAATGGGGTGGATGTGATATTCACCCAAGAGTACGCATACCCACAACCCTCATCACCGGGCCATGGGATGAGAAGGGATTGCGACTTCTATTTTGGCTCCGGCGAGCTGGAAGAGTATACGGGGTTGAGGAAAGTGAAGCATCTTGGGAGTTGCAGGTGGATTGTCTTCGAAATGCATTCATCGATGCTTCTGAGCCGAGCGTTCTCATCACGAATCTGTTTGACCTCACTTCGCTCTGTCGTGGCTTGCCCCGGGACGTTGCCCGGGAAGAGAGGCGCCGAATCGACCAGCGGCTAAAATGGGGCGGAGATGGTATTGTCGCCAAAGAGATTCTTCGGGAAGTCCACAGCAGGATCGGAATGTTCCACGATGGGTTTGATGCCCCAGGCTGACCAAAGTGATGCCGGGTGCCCTGTTGTCGCCCTTCAATTAGTCACTTCGTCTCTACTGTCGTTATGGGTTGATACATGAGAAATAAGCACACACTCTCTCTCTCGGCCTACCGAATTCAGCTCGCCGGTCCTATCAAAAGGATCCGAGCACAGAACAAAGGATCACGAACAGCTCAAGGATTTTCAAGAGCTCAGTCTACTCCTAGGGGTGAGTGATGAGTACGGATGCCTTCGTGGAAGTTCATTCTGAATCGTCATGGCTCATCATGTATCACATTACTTGCATGAATGACCGTCTGGTAGCTCAGGCCTCCTATTTACAGTATGTCACATCTTATGTACAGACAAGAAACAATACTCATAACGATTAGAGGTATACTATTCTTCTTTCTTATAGACTTCTGCCTACGGTAGGCAGTGGGTAGCTTTTTAATAACATCATGCAAGATCTAAGTAATGTTTTTATGGAGTGCGAGCATTGTGTGCCTCAGCATAACAGAGGAACCCCTTTAGCAAGGCCACATGCAGCTGGGGCAGTACTGCAACTCTTACAGACGCCAGTATCATGAATGAAGAGATCCTAGTCCTTTGACTCACCTCTGTTCTCGCTTACCATTCAAAATTCCTTCATCTACACCCAGACCAACATCCTGCCACAGCACCATTCATCTTCACGATGTTCACAAAGCAACACCAACCAGGACTTGAGCTTTCCCAAAGCCCACACACACAGCTTGGTGACCTTGCCATTCGTTACCCAATGAAAATAGTTTCCGACTTCCCGGAACAAAGATTTCAAGAGGGATTAAGCTATCATCCTGTCAAGTTTGCGCCAAGCGGACGGGGGTCAGAGGGAGAGAAGGATGACTCACACACCGTGAGCACACCATACCTACCCAGCGAACCACGCGATAACGGGATTTCACGGCCTTGATTTTGTAGACCTCTCCTGGTATTTCCGAAAAAGGAAGGCCTTTTTGCGGAGGTGTGTACTATGCATATTGTCCGGTTATGCATCATATCACACGATTGTATCTCGTGAAGAAACTTTTGTTGGACACAACACAGGTCGGGTTTGTCATGGGTTTGGACTCGTGGTTTAAGGTGATATGCTCAACTTCGGTTCTGGCGTATCACGTAGTCACTTAGGGTGAAGGTATTCGCTTCAGTTGCATGTAAAGAAGTCAGCGTAAACGAGAATGATTAAGTGTTCCAGCGTAAAGCTTCTTTTTTTAAATTTGGTGCTTGTCTTGCTTTGCTCGTGCGTCTTTTTCCTAACCATGAATTGGCTCCATAAGGGATCAGAAATGACTGCCACGAGTCCACTATCGCGAGGACTGTTTCAAGCTAGCTATTAGATTTCGCCATAGCGTTATCGCTCTCGTCAATGCAGCTCATGTTTGAGGCTTCGCTGCTCGAATCCGTTTCCGAAATCGACTGGTTATTTGCCATCGAAGTTTCAAAAGTCTGCCTTTGACGAGGTCGAGTGGAATCAAACTTTGGCTGTGTCCTCAAGGACACTATTTTGTGCTTCAGTTGTCTTGGTTGCAAAAGAAAGGCAGATTGGACTCGCTTTGATGCGAATCCCCCGCTGCCTCACGGATACCATGTTGGACGCGAGTTGTTGTCCATCGGTGGCGTTTCCCTGCTCGGTTTAGATAGAAAATGAAACCTATTACTCCCCTTATACTATCCATTCTCCTTGCCACCAAGCAACGCTTTGAAAAACAGCATGTACAAGTAAATCAAAATGCAGCGACGTCTTAGTCATACAAGATTTGCAGATCGTCTCTTACATCCCATAACAGAAAATGACGTTCGCCACCCGCTCCCTTTCCCCGATGTCCAATCCTAGAGATGCACGCAAATGAACACGCTTTTCGGCCCAGTCTTGACGAAGAGCAGAGTACTTCCTCGGCACATTACCCAATTCGCCAAAATCTGTGGTATCAAAGGCCTTTTAGCAAAAGACTCCTTGCTTGCCAGCAACCCAGTTCAATAGTTGACATAGAAAATGTTATTGATTCGACATTAATTCTTCGCATTGTAGTGATGGATATAGTTTGTCGGTATTCGACAGGGTATCAAGTTGGTCAAGGAGGAAGTGTGACCAACGACTTGTAATGGGTTTAGTTCAAGATACCCTCCCACATACCAGGTCCCCTGATACCAAGTGCAGGATGGACAGACGAGAATTCGTAGCCCTGTGCTGCCTCAGCAGAACAGCAAACGCGTTTGCCAGTGCCGGGCAGGCTGGGTCGGACGGGGACCTGGAGGTTCGACTCGGAAGTAATGCCCCGAGTCCGAACCAACGTATCAGGCCAGGCAGGTCGCTGAGTAGAGTAGCGACCACCAAGCATCTCGCGAACGTTCTCCTGGAGGCAGTTGTCCATAGAAGCAGTTCGACTTCGCTTTGTGCCACTTCTAGGGGCCGTAGCACGGTAATTCTGAAGTTCCTGCAGAGCGCGGGCGGCGTCAGAATCACGAGCCATGTCATCAAGCTCCTGCTGTCTTCTCGCCAACGGAGTATCCAACGACAGATCGCCAAGCTTGCCAGCCGGGCCGGCGCAAGCTTCAGGGGACGAAGTGTAGCAGTGCACATCATAATTCTCGGGAACCGAAGAGACGGTCGGCTTCTGGCTCAGTCTCTCATTGCAAAGCTTCTGCGCTCGGAATCGCGACGGAACACCCAGCCTGGAAGGGCCAAGGGTCGCGCTAGCAAGCGTTGAAGTCGAAGAAATGGAGGATGAGCGCGAGGAGCGCGAGGTATCCGATATCATTGATTCGGGTGAGGAGGCAGTGGACACTGAGTTGGCAAGAGAAGATCGGCGAACAGGGCAGTAGTTCTGTGGTGACGAGGTCATGGACGAAGGAAGACGATCGAGATACTGGGCAGTTGCCGTGTTGCTGGCCTGAGCCATGGCCAGACCCATAGAACTCTTGCTGAGCATGTGGGAGGCGGCACTCGCGGCAGGAGTGCAGAGTCCAGTGCTCTGAGGAGTAAGTCGGGGAGTTGGCAGCTTTCCCAAAGCAGGAGCCAAACGGCCAGAAGTATATCCTATATGCACAGGCTCCATAACCATGGGAGTGTTGTACGACTTAGGAGTAGGGGTGGCCTCAGCCGACTCGTAACCAGTTGTAGGCTGGGCTTCTTGGGGAAGGTTGAGAATGCTGCGAGGCGATAATGCGCAGAGGTCACTTGACCGAGGCATGACGGGAGCAGCAGGAATTAAGGTTGCGAGGTTGGTCAACTCAGGGTTGAGGCCCAAAATAATGCGTTTCCAGTCCAAGACCTGTTGAGATACAGTCTGAGCAACTCCCCCAGGGGAGGAGGGACCAGACGGCGGTGGTGTGTACTTGAGAACGATATCGGTCCATCGCTGGAAGACCTCATCGGCAATGTGCATCTTCCAGTTGACGGCAAGCAGGAAAGCAATTTCGTTCTGGTTAATCTCTTCAGTTCTGAGTCCCGAGATCTTGCTCCAGGCGCGCGCAGAATAATTTCTGTCCTGAAGATACTTGGAGGCAAGGATCAGAGCAGCCAGAAACATGCGACGGCCGCACTGAAGTGCGCGGTCAGCATGTCGGTCCACGGGCTGTTCCATTGTGAAATTGTGTTTGGGCACATGAGGCTTGATGAGAATCAAGTAATACAGAGCAACCTGGAGAGTCGAGTAGCTTGTCCGCGAGCGGCGCAAGGTTTCCTGGATGAAGTTGCGCAATGGCAGGACGGGGTTGTCTGAGGACACATTTCGACAGGCGACAGATGACAGAGGCCAAATGGCTTCAACAATCTGTGTCGACGAATCTAGAGGGTTAAACGTTAAGCGATTGAACAGTAAATCAAGATCCGGTCAAAACATACCGACGAGGCTATCGACAAAGTTGACTTTTCGCTCAGACTGTCGGACCAGAGCAGGAGGGCATGCAGCGCGTGCACCAGATGTTCTTCGAGGATTTTGGCGCAGCTCGGTAGGGAGCGTGTCCGTCTGTGTCTTTTGAGCGCGGCATCGAAAGTTGACAGCGCTCTCAACGATAGCAGCCTTTCTCGAAAAATAAGAATCGCAAGAATCGGAGTCGCAAGAGAGGGTGGAAATAGAGGTATCGTCGGAGGTCTGAGAGGTGGTGTCGGACCAAACAGAGGAGAGGGAGCTTGAGGCGGAAGAAGCTAAAGATGTGTTGTAGGGAGCATATCGAGTGGTGTGTATAGAGGCGGGCGAAATAATCGCGTCGCACTTCATCTTGGGTGGTAGTTGTAACAGGCCCGAATACTATATTCAAGCCAGGATGATTATCCAGTCGCCGTCAAGGGCTATGTCAACCAATCAAATCGTGGTTTACCGGCAGTAGTTCGCGGGGTCGAGATCGAGTAGCTATACTTCGTAACAGCGTGTAAGTGCTGTTTCAAAGTAAATCCGTAGGTGTGATTACAAGGGGCGTCTAGACAAGGAAGCCAAGAAGCGACTCAGAAACACAAGCGATAAGACCGGAAGACGAGGCGGAGACGGCGACTGAAATAAGATGTGTTTTTTCAACAGGCATTGCGACAATGCTTCAAATCTCGAAGTTGAGGTTAGAAGCGAATGGTAGTCTTAGAACAAGGCTACCATCGGAGCGGGTGAGCGGATAGTAGATGGGGTTCGGGGTCGGAAGTCGGAGGTCGAGATCGAAGATTAGTGACGGGGATCAAGCCGGTGTTGTTCTGTCGAGTTGATATGCAAGGTACAACGTTTGGCGAGATTTGAAGGTGTGGCTGAAAGGTGATGAGACGACCTGAAAGAGGTGATGGGAGGATTTATTAGATGACCGAAAGAGGGTGACTCTTGTTTAAAGTGGCCTAAGGGGCGAGGCGTGAGGCGTTGAGGTGAGTGACAGCCTGGCGTGGTGGGATGTGACTCTTCTCGTTTTGCACGGTGGCGAGCCCGAGCAACGTCGGCGGGGGCGTGTGGCAGGTGGTAGCCAGTTGGCGATCTCGGAGAGAGCGTGAGAGAGTGTGTGCGCGGCGGTAGCCTGTGCCTGATTTGGTGCGTGCAATTGCAGTGCGAGGCAAAGCAAGGATGACTAACAACCGGTTCGTCACAGGCACACACAGTGAGTGAGTGAGTGTGGCGAAGGAGCTAATAGCGGGCTGTAGCCTGGACTGACAGGGGAAACAGTGACAATGAAAGTGTATACAGATGGTAGGGTGTAGTAGGTACAACAACGTTGACGGAAATAGAATTCGTATATAGTAAAAGTGTAATATAGATAGAAGAAACGTGAAAAAGGAAATGAATCAGACGGTAAGGAGATGGGTAATGTTGATGATAAGAAGGAAGTATGAGTGAGAATGATGGGGGAGTAAGTGAGCAATACAGCGAAGTCCGGAGACTGGTAGACTGATTGACTGACTGACACGAAGAGTCACTCAAGTAGAAAGGACAGGACACTTTTCCGTAAAGTCACCTCACTGAGAAGGCGATCTTTCTGGTTCAAGGCCAAGGACGGGCGGGCAAAGGCCGGGGGGAGGCAAGGTTGGTACCTTCGGGCTTGGGCTCGTCTCGGCTTGGCTGGGCTGGACTGGGCTGGACTGGACCCAGGCAGTGCTGCGCTGTGGTGGGAATCGGTAGGAGAGTTCAAACTGTGACTCTTTGCACCGTCGGGCGGCAAAGAGAATGAGTCTGCTTTTTTTTTTTTTTAAGCCAAAAGTCGCAAGGTGCAAGTGAATGCCGCTGCGGCCTGACTGAGGGTCGTGGTTGATTTGTTCTTTTTGTTCAGGGAAGGGATATTACCAAGGTGAAAACAACAAAGTTCAAGAAAGTTCAAGACAAGACGCCGTGGAGAGTGGAGATGTACACGATCCAGAGCAGACTTCAGTGAGTCGCTTGGGACGGATTTAAAGGGTGAAATCGAACATGATGGCGACGATGTCTGTTCGATGGGGGGAGGGGGAAAAGGCGGGAGATGGCAGTGGCGGGCTATGGCATAGTTTTGAATGCTTTGGACAGCGACAGCGTGAGCAAGACCACGACGAGAGACGAGTTGAACGCAGGTACCTACGGCGCGCTGCAAAGAGTGCCCAGGACGCGAGGTACTGTACCTAATTACAGTAAACGCACCATCTAATCACACTGTCTTGTCGAACCCTTGTAGGAAGCTTAACCAGTCAGTGAACTGCTGGATCTCGCGCTGCTGTCTCCCACTGGACTACGTGTTGCCCCTCTTTTCAAGCTCCGTGCGATACCGTGTCTAGATCGCGCATTCTGTACAAGGTTGTGGCCCTCCTCGATGGACCTTGAAGCGTGTCTGCCTTTTGGCATCTCCCTATTGGTTCTCCAATCTCGACAGCGCGTGTTTCTTCCTGTCCCTCCCCCTCCCCTCCCCTCCCCTCCACCCTTTCCAGGCCGCCTCCACCTCCACCTTCCTTTGCCCTTCCACTTCCCAACCTGACCTCTATCAAGGCCTCAAGGCATCCAAGAGTGACTTGCTTTGCTGTTCTTCTGTTCTGTTTTGTTCTGCTCTGTGCTGTAGATTACGGTGAGGGAATGGATAAGGTTGAGTCAAATTATGCGTGATTAACGCATCAGGAGCCTGACAGACTTGAATGAATACAGTACCTAGGCAGATATGAAAGTCTTGAAGGAGCTTTTTCTATACTGGAGGCTTTCGTGCTGAAGATGAACTGCCTTGGATTCATTCATACTATGCATGCATCATGAATGAAACTGGTGTTTTCCTGAACGGATGAGTGAAATGAGTGACGATGACCAACAACTCCGTTCGACTCATCGTTGAACACCTCACTTGGCTGGCCGCTGGCTACTGTTACTGGAACGCCAACCCAAACCTGGCTTGGTTCGTGCATCTCGCGTATCCCTGCCGTCCCGATCACCCTGGTCACCCACCCAACCCTTTCTGGCTTCACTGTGAGTTGTCTGTTCTTGAGATGAAGCCGCCCTCGTGGGCTCGTTTTAGGTTCTCATAATCAGCTCCTTGCTTCCAGGTTGCTCGTTGCTCCTGGCTTACCCATAATAGCTGATGCTCGAGGCAGGGTTTGGTGCGTGATCTGGTTTAAGATGGATGATATAGATCGTAAAAGTTTGAGACTCTAAGCTCTGGTGCAACCCTGAAAGCACTGAGAGCTTCATGCACAACAAAACCCAGTAACAAACTGCCAGAGAAAGAAACTTCAACTGGTACTATTCTCCAGACTTGACCATTTCGGGGTCAGCATAGCCCTCCAAAACTTGGCTGCTGATGTACGATGACTCTTTTTCAGCTCTTTGGTAGTGTAGTGCATTGTTCAATTCTCCACCTCCACCTTCACCTTGTCCGCCATCGTTTCGTGGATTTCGAACATGACAACATGTTCATGATAACTCAGAAGAAGATCCTTATTATGGCCGGTGTTGGCTCCGTACATGATCGCCCACGTCTTACTGGCTTTGTGTCGTCTCAGCATTTTGAAACCTCACTGTCACTCACCTCTCCTCGCCCTGTACTGACAGTACAGTACAGTATGTACAAACAAACCATCCAATGATGCTTCACACTAATATCCGACCATCCAATGGTCTTGAACTATGTGGATATGATGGAATGGCTTTTTGGGGGTTTAGTTTTGTCGTAGACTCGTACATAGTATCAGACAGTGACTCGCTCAACCTCTCTCCAATAACACCACAACCCCCTTATTAAGTTGCATCGTACTGGTCTCGTTAGAGTTTTCGAGGTATTTACGGAAGCTTGTAAGAAATTATCAGGCACTTTCCAAACTGATGCCGCTACACTGTGCTGTGATTTTCCCTCACAAGCCATTCAACACTCTCATCACCTCAGAGACATACCTGGAAAATGTCACCATTTCTCCCTCGAATGATCTTAATCTAATGTCTACAGTATATTACAGGCGTCCCACAATGACCTCACTGCAATTCAACGGTTCCGATCCGGCCCGTCTAATAATCAACACATAAACAGTGTTGCGTCTCAAATGCCTTCAGGCTTTAAAGGTGTATCGAGTGCTGCAGTCATGCGCATATTTTATGCCTTTGTGGTAGCCTTGAGCATAGACAATGTCTGTCTAAGAGCATCAAGTCTGTTTACATTTGAGATGATGCTATTAGTTACCCGTTACTGCTCATTACACACTCGCTTTCACTGAATCTTTGTGGCTGTAATATTTTGATCCCTTGCTCACTGGGTCAATACTGAACATGACTTTACTTGGTTGGGCTTGATCCTCAACAAATACACAAACTTCCTCTATAGTGTCTCTTCTTCATAGTTTGCCAGATCAACAAACGATTCTCGTCGCACTTGTGTGATGATGAATAATCCCTCTTCAGCCTGGTGTCATGAGAATAACAATATTACAGGCGCCATCATGACTTTGGTCCCACTATGCTTACTTACACACACTGTTTCTCTTAGTTGTGCACGATGTGCGAACACTCTGTTGTCTTCTGCCTGAGCTTGGTCTCTTCCACTTTTGCCCTCCGTGCTGTAGGCATCTATATTTGATTGATGGTGAAACATGAGCGCTTTCTTCATCACGCATCTCAATTTCGTAGACATGATAGACACTCCTTCATCTGGCTCGTGCGCCCACCATCTGTGGCGGCAGCGCTTCCAGTTTCCAGCCCCTTAACAGAGTCCAATTTCTTTGTGCTTGACTGCATGTATCTTTCGCTATGGTCCGCCGTACCAACCTCCGCTACCATGTACTACTGTATGTAGCCTGTTGTGCTGTTCCGTCTCATTACGCATCGTCCAGCCTGTACAAACCATTACCTCAGCCGTGACCATTTATTTCGGCTTAGAGATGGGGCCCCGGTCAACTGGCAGACCCTTAACAGACCTGGGTGTGACTCGCAGCGTTTCCAAGTAACCTGCCAGTTCATGCTCTTGTCCGCGTGTACGATATGATAGCTTGAGGGTTGTTCAGTCTCCCTCTATCAACGCAGCAATCTGTGTCTTTAAGCAAAAGGCCAATATATTTGATGTAGATGTATCTTTCTCGACCTTCTTTGTGCGCTGATGGTGTTACTTCCGTAGCCGAAACCCCGCTTGAGAGCGTGTACTCCGGTTGGTTCATACAAATGTTGGATGAGTCAGTGGAATACTATTGTTTTTTTCACGTCCGCGCTTGAGCTTGTCGCAATATATGGGTTAAGGTCAAGCGCAGCATGTTGTTCTACCACGGGCCCCTCTGGAGCGCAAGCTCACATATTCAGAGTAACGTATAGAATAGAACCAGATATGGATTGGGACACGACTACAGTTGAGATCTGAGTCACAGCAAGTACGACTTCGCCAGCCTACCCTAGATAAACACAATAGCTGTCACAACACCGCTTAGGTTCTCCAGTGATAGTAGGGTATTCTGATCGCCAGAACTACCTACTACATTACAGCGTTATGCTATGTGCAAATAATTTCTATTCTTGTGTAAGGCGGTGTTGTCCATCTTCGCTGCTAGGTTGCCTGTTGCACCGCCCACCTTGACCTCAGCTACGAGTGAATGGCTGAGCATAGAGTTCATTGAGGGACCTTATGACGCACCGCATTGCTGCTTCTCACGGGACCTGGGAGAGTCGAAACAACTCACGAGAGCTACCAATCATTCATCCATTTACATACTGCTTAACCGAGTGCGTTGTCACCCACGAGTTGTATTGGATCCATTATGTTCGAGCCTTACTCGAACTTCCGGTGAACCCTTTGCCAAGCTGCCCCCACATTCCGGACCCCGGCCGGCTGCTTCGGTGCCCCGACCGCTCTCACAAGGTTATGTTACTGTACATAGGTTTCTCTCCCTGGTAGTTCGTCATGCGGTACGAGGTTACGATTCTCTATGCCGTGTTTCGCCAACCACTTGCTTACGTATGTAGGGTTTGTCAGAACTACTGTACAGACAGTCCAGCAACGAACTTGATTAAACTGCAGCTATCTTATCCGAGATGGCCTTCCGGGTTCCAAAGTTCCATCCAGATGGATCTCTATCCCTACCCTGGCTCTCGACCTCTTCACCGTCAGATCTTAGGACATCTGCCCACCTACGAAAACGTGGTTGCCTAACCCTGTTCATGCCTTGCACATGCATCATCCTGGCTCTCATATTCCTGCCACATGAAGCGGGCATCGAATCAAATCAGATCTTGCCTTTTGCCTACTGTAATTGCTCAGATAATCGTCATCGCCGTACCGAATCGTGAAGTGTAAAACAAAACCTTGTCAAATTAGGCACCGTTCGAGAAGTCATGGGGAACAGCGGGTATACTGAGATACTCCACGGTAAAAGACACAGAAGGCTCTTCAGAAACATGTTGAAGGTTCCCTGAAAGAGTGAATATTCAAAGGAGGGGATGTCACCCTGTCAGGCAACTCCAAGTGTTGATCAGGTGGAGAGGCTTTGCACCAAAAAAAGATGATCATGAAAGGCTGAATCAAGTATGAATGCTAGAACCTTCTGGGTACTATGTCCTCTCCAACACAGACAGAGAAACAAAGAAAACAGGGACAGAACAGTCACGCACCAACGATACAGCCGTGTCTGAAGTAGTCAGACGTAGAAGGCCATCGATGTGACATACTCATGTCCAACGACAGCCTTTCACTCACACAATCGGCAGTCTTGCCACGATCGTTGATTCCATGTCATGATCCCGGCGAGTGCACGTTCGATATGAACCATACCATTCAGGCAAATACATAAGCAAACGCCAGTCACCTCGGAAGCTTACGTTTAGTGTCTTGAGCTGAGCAACTCATCTGCCTTGGAATAGCCTGGGCAACATAAGCACTTGCAAAGCAGAAGGTTGACTCCATGTCAGGGACAAACACGCCACCAACGATGCATACTATTAACCAGAGTATTACTCGGGCTGACGAGAGCATCGCATTTCGGATGACAGGAGGAATTTTCCGAACTCATCTTATTCGTCACTCAGTGACTTGCAATATTGCGATAGCAGCCCGGCAGATCAGCCGTGAACAGCATCATCAGACACAGAACAAGACATCGAGGGTAATACGGGCAGGTCCATCGATGTATTGTTGACACTACGCGAATGGTTCAAGGCCCGGGAGTTGGCGGATACGTCACATACTTGTCAAACAGTGAATACACCAAAGTGTAGTACGAATCTTGAATACATAATCAATACAAGTGACCAAGACTAAAACGGTTGCAACTTTTGCCCTTCGCTGGCTTAATATCTCAATTCCAATTTCCCAGCTTCTTAATATCGGCCTGTAGCAGCGAAAGGAGTTGGCTCTTGTCGTGGTGATGACCATCACCGCTGTGTCAGACACTTTAGGAAGCCATGTAAGTGCTGGCATCGACACCCTCCTTAGGGAATTCACTATCAAGGGACATTAGTCGACGGAAACGACACAAATATATGGCAGTTTGACTTACGGAAGAGCGACCTCAAATCGCTTCTCGATCTCCTTGAGCACCTCCTGGTCTTGGTCGGTGCTGACGAATGAGATGGCCAGACCCTTGGTACCGAATCGTCCAGCACGACCCACTCGGTGAAGGTAGGAGCTAGCATCGTTGGATAGATCGTAATTGATCGCCAGGTTAATACGCTCGATATCGATACCTCGTCCGAAAACATCTGTGGCAACACAGATTCTCTTCTTGAACTCCTTGAACTCCTTGTAACGGCGGATACTATGTGATATTAGACATTATTAGACACTTATCAGATCGGTCACTTACCGTTCTTCCTGACTGACACCGGAGTGAACAGCGATCGAAGGAAAGTTGCACTCTCGCAGGAGCTTGTCAAGCTCAGTAGCGCGGACAGTGCTGCGCACAAAGATGATGACCTGGTTGAACTGGAGATCGTCCAAGAGTTCGTTGAGCTTACGGTTCTTCTCCTTCTCTTCTAGCTTGATGTAGTACTGCTGAAGGCCGTGAAGAGTGAGCTTGGTGTCCTCATCGACGTAGTGCTCAGTGGGATTCTGCATGAACTTTCGGCAGATGGGCTTAACCTCCTCGGAGAGGGTGGCCGAAAACATCATGACCTGCTTCTGCTGAGGGGTAGCACGGAAGACGTCCTGGACATCGGTGCGCATGTCTGGTTTGATTAGTATCTATTGTTGGGGAAAATTTGGAAGCAGAACTCACCAGGCTGGTCAAGCATCTTGTCACACTCGTCCAGCACGAAGATACGGACGCTACCAAGACGCAGAGCCTTGTCACGAACAAGAGCCTTAAGACGACCGGGAGTACCGACGATGATGTGAGGGCAAGTCTCCTTGTTCTTAAGGGTCTCCATATCGGTCTTGATGGGGGTACCGCCATAGAAGACGCCGGTCTTGATGTCAGGCATGTACTTGCTGAAACGGTTGTACTCGTCGCGAATCTGGTAGGCGAGCTCACGAGTGTGGCACATAACGACCACAGAGACCTCCCCGTTCACTGGTTCGACTTGCTGTAGGGTAGCAAGAACAAAGACAGCAGTCTTTCCTAGACCGGACTTGGCCTGGCAGATAATGTCACCACCGAGGAGGGCCTGGGGGATACAGGTTTGTTGGACTGTCGATCGAATCGATGTTAGAGCGGGTTCTAAGAAGCAAACGAACGACGGGTGTAATGTCAAATGTCCGTCCATCGTCGCAGCTTAGCCATAATGATTTCTCGCACTTTCCACCGACGTGGTGATACAGAAGGGCGTGATAGCAACCCGAAGGTCAACTTTTGAAAGCCAAATGATTGCGCAAGCAACCGTGGCAGAGAAGTATCAAGAGCTCCTCGATGTTCTTTGAAGTTTTCCTCGTTTCGCCCTGGCTTTTTCGCCAGAAATCCGCCCGCAACAACAAATAATGTCTTATCCGCTTTCGCGAGATAAGTCTGACAACGAAGTTGCGGTTCTGCGGAGAGCCACGTCTCTCAACCGTGGGCTTATTCCGCCCGGATGCTCGGACCACCTCAAAATCTATCCTGAACCACCTCTGACGACGACGATGATAACGATTGCGGAAAGAATTGGCCATTTGGTTTTGCTTGCGAGATGGACGGACGCTTGAAGGAAGGGGATATGATGACTTAGGGTATTAGAATATCAGGACTGACCCTCCGATGGATGCTCGAAACCGCAGTCGGCAATAGCGCGGAGCAACTCGGCCTTGAGGAGGAAATCGCGGAAACCGGTCGAATGAATACCGACGTAGCTGCCCTTCTTGTCGACATTGTTACCGGCGGCGAGCTCGCCCTTCTTGCCGTTGGAGGTGGTCGCGGCGGTATCGTTGCCACCGATCTCCTCGTCGGAGTAATCAATGAGATCTTCCTCGTGAGACATGCTGGTTGTGATTCACGAGCTGTTAGATTGTTGATGCGGAAGCTGTCGCTGAAGCTGTTCTTTGCAGCGGAGCTGTGATGACGAGTCTGACGCGGTTACGAACCGAGTCGCGTCGCCGTGGAAAGTTGAAAGTGGCGTAGATGTGCCGCTGGAATAGGAAAAAACGATGGATGAAGCAATTTCGAGAAGTGTGAGGAGGAAGGAGATGAATCGAACCCAGTCTCGTTCCAAGAGTGACTTGAAGGAGTCTTTGTTGAGGCTGAGAAGGGAGGTGCTAGAAAGAGGCAGGAGCAGTGCAAGGTCGCTGCTGGCTAGGAGGCCCGTGCGCACCGTATCACGTGAGTCAGCTCAACACAGTGCTAAATCTACAGGATGCACTAACATATGAACTGAACTGTAGCTTCAACCTGAACCATCATTCTGGCCGTCCAAGACATCGAGTCTAGAGAAAATTTGATGGCGAAAGGAAAAGAGAATAAGAGCGTCCAGAACCGCATCATATACTCCAGAGCATCATATCTCTACCAAGCAGCTTCATATCTTGCTAAGCAGCAATCTTCAGTCGGGCAAGATGGTCTATCGAAATTCTCAACCGTAGACCAAGGCAACAGTGTTCCTGCGCCAACAAAGAACGAACAGAAAGCGCTACTGAACATGTCTCGACAAGCCGTGGCAGACTTGCGTGCTGTAACACAGAAAGCGCAAATTCGACAAAGCCCGGCGATGAAACAAACTATGTGCAAGTTTTGCAATACTCTGCAGATTGACGGTGACACCTGCACATCATCCGTGGAGAATGCTAGCAGAGGAGGCAGAAAATCCTGGGCCGACGTCCTGACCATCGAGTGCAGAACCTGCGGCAATGTTAAGAGATACCCTGTCAGTGCCCCGAGACAAAAGAGGAAAACTCTGCGCAAGTTGGATCGGCAAGAAGGCACAGAAGAAAGCAGCAACGAAATCAGGGAATACAAATCTACAACACAGACGACGCCGAATGAGACACCAGTTCAAACGCCAGGCCCATGAGATGAAAGCAGAAGTGGTCTTAACGGCCAAACACACAGGTCCGCACCGAACACTCCATGAGAAGTGCGTGGTTGAGAAATCACTCTACTCACGGGTCACGCTTGATCCTCATCTGCCAGAAGAACAATATCATACGGTCATCAAAAGCACTGTATGTCTGGGATCATTTGTATGTGAAGGTATGTTGCAGCATAGCCGGGCATGACCGCTGTCATACAATAGCTGAGTTGGCGCTCACGCCAACCAACGAACAGCCCAACTGTTGCAGTTAAAACTATTAGAGAGAACCGGGACTGTTGATAGAACACGGCCCACGCTGTATCTTCTCTTCCTTCCGTTAATAAACATTTCGTTGCTATCCTGTGTGATCAGCACTCCAGTGCTTATTTTCCTGGCTGCCCGGCTTCTTTGACACTCTCCTCCCCTAAAACCTTACTTGCCGCCATGAACCTGTCTTCTGTAAGCTAATGTGTTCTCCTCGAGTGGACAATATTGAGCAATACTTACAATCCGCCGTGCCAGCTGCCCAGTCCCCGCATGGCTTCCGCCTGGACGCTCGTCATGCGTAATAAATTTTCAGTATCGGAAAGATTGGATGATAGTTGAGCAAGCTGTGAGTTGAGTTGTGCCTATTAAGAGGACGCAGATGTTAGAAGAAATGATGGGATTTAAGTACACGGCAAAGCTATAACCGGAAACAAGATACTTCAGAACAAGGCAATGGGAAACTCACAAGTTGCCTGGTTTTGACAGCGCTCCCACTCGACACCATGCTCTGTCGCACATGAGCACCGGTCACGTTGCGTGTAGCCATAGTAAGTCTATCTAATCCCTTGCCTGGGTGTTTATGGACGATATAAAGACGTAGCGGTAGGATTTGGTGCGTTGTTACGACTGGGCATTAGCTAAGCTTGGTAAATAGCGCGAGAGAATAGGTTGCGCCTTAGTTAGAAAAGACTGAGGACGAGAATTGAATAAGAAGTGGTCTTCAGCTCTGGAATCTTCAAAGTGCTTGTACGCTGAATGGTGCTGTATTGTATTGTACCTGATGGGTGATTGACATTGGTAGTGGTTTGTTTACCTACATATCCAAGGTGGGGCCGCTTGAGCTGACCCATGCATGCATGCACTCAATAGCCATTGGGCCTTCACCAGAGTTGATCACTGGTCACGGCTTCACAAACAACATCCATATTTCAATACCCTTGAAACCATTGTGCACACCAATCTAACAGTTTGGACAGTACAGTATGTAAGCGCTCTATAGCACCAATCATGATATCCATGTGCTTGCTTTTTGGATCTAGTAATCGCCGGATCACTACCACCAAAGAAACAGGAGTCAGCCTTGGTATAAGTGATCAGATGAGGTGACTGTTATCAACATTCATTTACAACCACACAATTCGAACTAAAGCAATCTCATGCTCTCTTGGCCCCAAAACGGTGTCAGACAGAACATCTTACTACTGTCGTGGAGAATGAGATGGGATTTTGTAGCTGTGTCTCTCTCGTCCGACTATAGGCAACGTTGAACTTTGTAAAGTATGCCTCCATCGGTTATTATACAGAAGTTGCGGCAATACAAGTTGAATAGGTAGCTAAGAGGATAATATATCCTTTGTTAGGTTGTAGATGGACGCTCTAGATCCTCGTCCGCTGCAGGACCAAAGACGCATCTCTACCATGGTCGGTAGTCCATAGAAGAAGTCAACCTCCACTACCAAGATATATAAAGGAACGGACAGAAGAAAAAGAATACTTAAATTCTTATGCTTGGTATGCGGGATGACGAAATCGGAATAATACATCCCTGTTATGCCAATGGTTCACGTCACAATATATCCAAGGTGCACCAACAGCTTTCAGCAGCGGGCGGCATCTCATTCAGCCCAACTTGGCCCAGACACGAAGGATGCGGATGTAGCACCAGCGGGGCACCTGGCCTTCTGAGTGATCAAATCAACTTGGATAGTGTCTTGGTGCCAAGCCTTGGCAGTGAATATCCTCCTGGAGACACAGACTGACAGGTGTTGATCAAGATGTCAATGTCGCCTATATAACAAGGCTTTGAGGGCTCCCCAAAAGGTCATTGATCAGTTCAGCACTTAATCGTGATACTACTCAACTCTTATCTTTTGTTGTCGCACTTCAGCATGAAGAAAGTCTTTTCCCTGACAGCCTTGGCTTCCTCGGCCGTCGCATTTCGTGGCGGTTGGGGCTTCGACGGGTCTCCTGGCGACTTCTCTACGACAGAATGGCAGGCTCGCTTCGAGGATGCCAACGCAACAGGAATATACTATTTCGACGCCTACAATGTCTCGGAAAGCTTCCCACCCAACAAGACTGTCAGTGGCTGGTCGGCTACCATTCGAGTAGCCAACATCACCGACGACCCCGAAGAAGGGAGCGTCCCGTACCCAGGTACCGACATCAGTATCAAAGCTCCGGATGGGATGAAGATGCCAGAGTCCAACTCTACCGAGTGGCAGGCCTGCATGGCAGTCTGGACTCCTGGAATCCTAACTTCCGGGGCTACTAGCGATGCTCAACACGACGATGGAGACTGTAGCTCGTTTCTTTCGGATGAATGTATTGATGCCATTAAAGCTTCAGCAGCTGGCTTTCACTTCGATGGCGAGAGATGTACCACTGTCCCTTCCATCCCTGAAGTATGCAAGAAGTGGTATGGGGAGTCAGGCGACGTACCTAGTGGCACCAGTAAGTCTAGTCTTTCAGAATCTGTTCTCGTAATACCATCTTAACCTTGATACAGTCAGTGGAAATTTCAGCAGTATATTCAACGGCAGCACTATGTTCAGTGGGCGTCCGCTGCTGGTAGGAGACAGCGAACGCGTGCAGACCGAGGAGGAAGCTTATAGTGAGGCGATTCGTAGTGTTTATACGGTTATGATCAACTGGGGCCGACGTAATTCGTTTTCTTGGAGCTCAGATGATATCTTGCAGCCTACACTATTGTGCTTACGTACAAGGAACATCACAGAAGGAAGTGAGGATCCCAATACTGGTACAAGAGCAGCGGTTCATGCACCCATGGCGCTGGGTATGTCCATGTTAGCTGCAGTTCTGCTGGTGTACTAAGTCTTCTGGACACGGAGATAGATGAAACATTCACAATAGGTCCTCATTGACTAACACAATGTATATATATGTAGGAGTTTAGGGCTTAGATTGAAGATTTCCTGAAACCTCCGTTGGGTTTACAAAATCCGATACAGCAATGATAACCATGGTCCTCTACCACAAATACTAAGCCTGCACTTCTCTGTTCTCTTCACGTATTTTAATAGCTGTGTGATATAAAGTTCCATCATAGGGTCGAAATAGGGCCCTAAGCAAATTATCAGTCAGGGCTCATGTTCTTAACTCAATCGACTCCCATTACTTGGGCACATGTCAATGAACGGACGTCTATAGACACAGGACTTCATTCACAAGCATGCTGAATAAGAAGGTATAGAGCGGCCAAAGGTCAAAATAGAACGTCTCAATGTATTTCATCACTGGTCTCTTTCCTACCACTGTTGAGTATCTATGTATGTTTCCAACAGAACACACGCAAGCCTTATGGACAAGTTTCCTGCTGACATTCCATGACTTCTCGCAATGAACAGATTAACCAGAAAAGAAACAACCATCCATAGTCTAATTTACTTGTGTAATCCCACCAAGAAAACAATGCTTATCGTAGCCCCTCCCGTTTGCTGCCTCCATCCGACTTTTTTTTCATGACATACCCACGCAAACATCTAGGAGGGCGCTCCGATAATCGATGGGGAAAAACAAAGACTTGCTTGGCTTATGCAATGCCTTGGTTCTGTCCATCTACCTCCTCACCCGCTACCGGCCCTTCCATTACTTATTCCCAAATCGCCCTCCCAAAGATGGGCTTCGGCCTTCTTTAATATTCCAATCCGTTGATACAAGCTTTGCCCTGTGGTGTCCCTACACCCGGAAGGGTTATCAACAGGGCTGGCAACAACGGAAAGTCGATTATATGCTGAAAAGGCACCAGAATATGATCCCTGATTCCAATGCGGTATTACCAAAGATAGGCTACTTCTGTTTGATCGTTCAATGTGTATGTACGGGGTTTGTTGGGAACGGAATAATTAAAGACGTTGAGTCTGAGAATAGTCCAAAGTGACTGTGACCTTTGTCGTGTCGTTGCGTTTTTCTCGATGGAGCTGAGGCGTATAATAAAAACAAACAAAAAAAAAAAAAAAAA